CTCCTGAATGAGAAATGGAATAGAGAAACTGTGCTGTTGAAGGGAGAATGCTTTGACACAAAATGGCCGCTGTGCATCACTCAGGTACAGTCGGTGCTTCAGATTGACTTACAACATCAGTGAAGGTTCTGGGCCTCATGAGGTTGAACATCTTGGCCACCTGGTACACGTCCACAGAGCTCTCTGCCTCTAGTTGGCGCACCAGAGTAGACAGGGCACAGAAGGTTCCCGCAGTAACACCGCCAACCCTGCAAAATCAGACCCACGCCGTGAAGTGGTGGTAAACCTTATCTAGGGTGTCCAATTAAAAACTATTTTGACTAATCTGGAAAATAATGTTAGTTGTGTAGATAAAACCAATGGTCCAAACCTTATGTCTCTATCATACTCCATTCAAAAGTTATTGGAGTTTCTACCCTTGTAGGCTAAGGTGACTAAATCAATGGAGGACAGAGAAAGAAAGTGGTAAAGAAATATATATTATAGGAAAATTGCATCGCGTCAGCTAGGCTGGATTCTGTGCAAGAATTAAGGCTACTGGCTACCTGACAGGCTCACTTTCCTGTTGAACTTGTCATCTTTCTCGAATCCGCAGGACATAAAACAATATAGAGGTAAGATGGATATCGATTTTGAGACATGACATGTAGTATTTTCATATTTTAGTAATAGCTTTTCCTATTAATTCGAAATTCCTGTTCTTTTTCGAAGATTTCTCACAAGAACAAGCGTGTCTGTGAAATGTTTACGGAGCACTGAGCATATGCCAAACTTTTTATTTTCAAAGCCTTTTACATTTAATTCATGCTAATTTAGCTTTTTACGACCCGCGGAAACATCTTTGAAGACGAGGACCACAAAATGTAAAATCCTCAAGTTGTTACGAGAAACCTGCACCGCTATGTCAACAGAGCTCGGTGCTTACAGTGAGGGAAAAAAATATTTGATCCCCTGCTGATTTTGTACGTTTGCCCACTGACAAAGAAATGATCAGTCTATCATTTTAATGGTAGGTTTATTTGAACAGTGAGAGACAGAATAACAACAAAGAAATCCAGAAAAACGCATGTCAAAAATGTTATGAATTGATTTGCATTTTAATGAGGGAAATAAGTATTTGACCCCTCTGCAAAACATGACTTAGTACTTGGTGGCAAAACCCTTGTTGGTAATCACAGAAGTCAGACGTTTCTTGTAGTTGGCCACCAGGTTTGCTCACATCCCCAAACCATCACACCACCACCATGCTTGACCTTTGGTATGATGTTCTTAATGTGGAATGCAGAGTTTGGTTTTCACCAGGCATTACTGGAACCATGTCGTCCAAAAAGTTATACTTTTGAATCATCTGTCCATAGAACGTTCTTCCAAGAGTCTTGATGATCATCCAGGTGCTTTTTGGCAAACTTGAGTCAACTTCTTGGACGAGATGGGTCCCATTATGCCTGGCGAAAACCAAACACTGCATTCCAAAGTAAGAACATCATACCAAAGGTCAAGCATGGTGGTGGTGTGATGGTTTGGGGATGCTTTGCTGCCTCAGGACCTGGACGACTTGCCTTAATAGAAGGAACCATGAATTCTGCTCTGTATCAGAGAATTCTACAGGAGAATGTCAGACCATCCGTCTGTGAGCTGAAGCTGAAGCGCAGCTGGGTAATGCAGCAAGACAATGATCAAAAACACACAATCAAGTCCACATGAAAATTGTTAAAAAGCAACAAATTGGAAGTTTTGGAATGGCCTAGTCAAAGTCCAGACCGAATCCCAATTGAGATGTTGTGGCAGGACTTGAAACGAGCAGTTCATGCTTGAAAACCCACACGTCACTGAGTTAAAGCAGTTCTGCATGGAAGAGTGGGCCAAAATTCCTCCACAGCGACGTGAGAGACTGATCAACAACTACAGGAAGCATTTGGTTGGAGTCATTGCAGCTAAAGGTGGCACAACCAGTTATTGAGTGTAAGGGGGCAATTACTTTTTCACACAGGGGAATTTGGTGTTGCATAACTTTGTTTATGAAATAAATATGTAATTGTTGTGTTATTTGTTCACTTATGTTCCCTTTATCTAATACTAGGTTTTGGGTGAAGATCTGATAACATTCAGTATCACAAATATGCAAAAGTAGAGAAAATTAGAAAGGGGGCAAATACTTTTTCATAGCACTGTATATGTGCTTTCTTGAGCAGGGGGACCTTGCGGGCGCTGCAGGATTTCAGTCCTTCACGGCGTAGTGTGTTACCAATTGTTTTCTTGGTGACTATGGTCCCAGCTGCCTTGAGATCATTGACAAGATCCTCCCGTGTAGTTCTGGGCTGATTCCTCACCGTTCTCATGATCATTGCAACTCCACGAGGTGAGATCTTGCATGGAGCCCCAGGCCGAGGGAGATTGACAGTTCTTTTGTGTTTCTTCCATTTGCGAATAATCGCACCAACTGTTGTCACCTTTTCACCAAGCTGCTTGGCGATGGTCTTGTAGCCCATTCCAGCCTTGTGTAGGTTCTACAATCTTGTCCCTGACATCCTTGGAGAGCTCTTTGGTCTTGGCCATAGTGGAGAGTTTGGAATCTGATTGATTGATTGCTTCTGTGGACAGGTGTCTTTTATACAGGTAACAAGCTGAGATTAGGCGCACTCCCTTTAAGAGTGCGCTCCTAATGTCAGCTCGTTACCTGTATAAAAGACACCTGGGAGCCAGAAATCTTTCTGATTGAGAGGGGGTCAAATACTTATTTCCCTCATTAAAATGCAAATCAATTTCTAACATTTTTGACATGCGTTTTTCTGGATTTTTTTGTTGTTATTCTGTCTCTCACTGTTCAAATAAACCTACCATTAAAATTATAGACTGATCATTTCTTTGTCAGTGGGCAAACGTACAAAATCAGCAGGGGATCAAATACTTTTTTCCCTCACTGTATATCCGACTTCTTGGATATCATTTAAAAAACGTTTCTTTTATACTTTATTTCTCCCCAATTTCGTGATATTCAATTGGTGGTTACAGTCTTGTCCCATCGCTGCAATTTCCGTATGGACTCGGGAGAGGCGAAGGTCGAGAGCCATGAGTCCTCCGAAACACGACCCCGCCAAGCTGCTTCTTGACACACTGCTCGCTTAACCCAGAAGCCAGCAGCACAAATGTGTAGGAGGAAACACTGTACAACTGTGAATGCGCCCGGCCCGCCACAGGAGTCGCTAGAGCGCGATGGGACAAGGACATCCCAGCCGGCCAAACTCTTTCCTAACCCGGACGACGCTGGACCAATTGTGCGTCGCCTCATGGGTCTCCCGGTCATGACCGGCTGCGACACAGCCCGGGATCGAACCCGGATCTGTAGTGACGCCTCAAGCAGTGCAGTGCCTTAGACCGCTGCACCACTTGGGAGGATTCTTGGATATAATGTTAGAGAATGTTCTTGGCATATCAGCCTTATGTCCAATATTAGTAATAAAGTATTTTGCTGTCCATTCTTCTTTAAACACACGACATTGAGAGTCGATTTTCTCATTTTCGCAGCACTAATTTTCCACGTCAAAAGTCGTCAAGCAATGAAGTGGTGACTGAGCGCATTGTGAATCGGACTGTAGGCCCAAATACAGAGCGCGCTGCCAGGCTACAGCGCCATCTATTGGAGGTTGTTTGTATACCATGGAATGAGTTTACGCCAACAATCGTAACTTAAATATAATAATATTGAATACATTTAAAAAAATGTCTCGCGGACCGGATTGAAGTGCCCGGCAGGCCGGATATGGCCCGTGGGCTAGTTTTGACTTAATAGACATTTACATTTTAGTCATTTAGCAGACGCTCTTATCCAGAGCGACTTACAGTTAGTGAGTGCATACATTATTTTTTGTATATATTTTTTTCATACTGGCCCCCCGTGGGAATCGAACCCTGGCGTTGCAAACGCCATGCTCTACCAACTGAGCTACTTCCCTGCCGGCCATTCCCTCCACTACCCTGGACGACGCTGGGCCAATTGTGCACCGCCGCATGGGTCTCCTGGTCACGGCCAGCTACGACAGAGCCTGGATTCGAACCAGGATCTCTAGTGGCACAGCTAGCACTGCGATGCAGTGCCTTAGACCACTGCGCCACTCCGGAGACTAGCATTCCTTTAAAGATGCAAAAATAGCCCCACCATTTCCTGGTTGCTAAAATCAGAATAGTTCGCCTAATTTCAGTTTATGTGACAAATATTCCTTTCAAATCCATATCATTATTCACTATCTGCTTGTTATATTCAATATGTTTTACAATATCATTCATGTCATGTCAATTTAATGGTATTCTAATAATATAAACTGTAAACACATTAATTTACATGCATTCTCATATTCATATTTTGACGCACAAACGTATAATATTTCATTAATATTTTATATCTGTCCTCATTTAACTAGGCCTTTCTTCCATTATGAGTAAATGAAGCAGACGTAATGTAAATTCAAGTATAATTTTTTTTTGGGACGATTTAAAAAGTCTATCCAAATTCCAATACAAAATGTGTTTACTCTAATTGGGCAATTCAACCGGCTGGTTGAGATATTTGTGATGCATTATCTATCAAAGTTTGTCATGCAAACAAATTCTTCATTTATAGCCTATACTGAGGATAAATACACATAAAATCCTTTTTCAGATATTTTTTCATTGGTATGCCAGTTAATAAAGGCTTAAGACAGGATTGTCTAAATAGGCCTGGATCAGTGCAGTGTTTCAGTTCCAATAAATATTAAGAGTATTGCAAATTTGGACCTTACCCTCTTAGGTTAAGGTCTCAGAGTGGATCATCTTGAAGAGAGGCAAAAAGAGTGATTCAAGAGTATTGAGATGGCTCAAGATAGATTACATGCCTGAGTGCCAGATGCTTGGGGGGTTGCACCTTTGGGACTGTTCCATTTGTTCCAGGTTTGGAGTGGACATAACCTTATTTCACAGATACATAATCAATCATCAAATCAGTGAATCAATAGAGTGAGGTCTTACTGGTCGTGGACCACCGTGGGGCCCTCCTTGGAGGAGCTCTCCTCCTTCACCAGGCTGAGCAGCTCAAAGGTGCTGCTGATGGGGCTGTCTGGGTTGGGCCAGCGCGGCGCCCGGTAGTGCCTCACCTCCAGAACATAGTCATCCTGGCCCAGAGGGGGACAACAACACACAATCGGAGAGAGAGAGAGAGAGAGAGTGTGTGTGTGTGTGTACACTATATATAAAAAAGTGTGGACACCCCTTCAAATTAGTGGGTTCGGCTATTTCAGCCACACCCGTTACTGACAGGTGTATAAAATCGAGCACTCAGCCATGCAATCGCCATAGACAAACATTAGCAATAGAAAGGAATTACTGAAGAGCTCAGTGACTTTCAACGTGGCATTGTCATAGGATGCCACCTTTCCAACAAGTCAGTTCGTCAAATTTCTTCTAGATCTGTCCCGGTCCACTGTAAGTGCTGTTATTGTGAAGTGTAAACGTCTAGGAGCAACAACGGCTCAGCCGCGAAGTGGTAGGCCACACAAGCTCACAGAACGGTACCGCCGAGTGCTGAAGCGCGTAGTGTGTAAAAATCGTCTTTCCTCGGTTGCAACACTCACTACCAAGTTCCAAACTGCCTCTGGAAACAACGTCAGCACAAGAACTGTTCATCGGCAGCTTCATGAAATGGGTTTCCATGGCCGAGCAGCCTAAAATGCGCAATGCCAAGCGCTAGCTGGAGTGGTGTAAAGCTCGCCGCCATTGTACTCAGTTGAAACACGTTCTCTGGAGTGATGAATCACGCTTCACCATCTGGCAGTCCGACGGACAAATCTGGGTTTGACGGATGCCAGGAGAACGCTACCTGCCCGAATGCATAGTGCCAGCTGTAAAGTTTGGTGGAGGAGGAATAATGGTCTGGGGCTGTTTTTTATGGTTCGGGCTAGGCCCCTTAGTTCCAGTGAAGGGAAATCTTACATACATACATACAATTATATTCTAGACGATTCTGTGCTTCCAACTTTGTGGCAACAGTTTGGGGAAGGCTCTTTCCTGTTTCAGCATGACAATGCCCCCGTGCACAAAGCAAGGTCCATACAGAAATGGTTTGTCGAGATCGGTGTGGAAGAACTTGACTGGCCTGCACAGAGCCCTCACCTTAACTCCATCGAACACCTTTGGGATGAATTGGTACGCTGACTGCGAGCCAGGCCTAATCGCCCAACATCAGTGCCCGACCTCGCTAATGCTCGTGGCTGAAGCCCACGCAGCAATGTTCCAACATCTAGTGGAAAGCCTTCCCAGAAGAGTGGGGGCTGTTATAGCAGCAAAGTGGGGACCAACTCCATATTAATGCCCATGATTTTGGAATGAGATGTTCGACGAGCAGGTGTCCATATACTTTTGGTCATGTAGTGCAAGTGTGTGTGTCTCTGTGTGTGTGTGTGTGTGTGTTGAAAGTGTTCCAGTGATTGGTTGTGCAGATGGTCGAGTCTAAACTGTGCAAAAAATATGTCCACTCTTTTCACTGGCCATTTGGTTTCACCATGGGCTAAGATCCAGGAAGAGATAAGCAGAACAACTCCATGGAATAAGCATTTCCTTGTTGCTATATATTCCCTCTGTGTATCAATTCAGTGGTTTAATGGTTGTTTGGGTATAGACACAGTGATAACATTTGAAGAGCACTAGCGACTGGTCCATAGTGACTGGTCCATAGCGACTGGTCTATTCTTTGAGGCTGATCTTTTTGTGCTGGTCCCACAGTCTGTGGCTGATCTCCCTCTCTCTCCAATGTAGTTAGTCTGTTCTATGTAGCTGATCATGCTAGTGTGACTAATCTTACTTATCGAGCTGAGCTCCCTGTTTTTACTGATCACCCTCAGCTGATCTCCCTGGTTTTAAAGATCTCCCTCAGCTGATCTCCCTGGTTTTACTGATCTCCCTCAGCTGATATCCCTGGTTTTACTGATCTCCCTGGTTTTACTGATCTCCCTCAGCTGATATCCCTGGTTTTACTTATCTCCCTCAGCTGATCACCCTGGTTTTACTGATCTCCTTCAGCTGATCCCCCTGGTTTTACTGATCTCCCTCAGCTGATCTCCCTGGTTTTACTGATGGTTTTACTGATCTCCCTCAGCTGATCTCCCTGGTTTTACTGAGCTCCCTCAGCTGATCTCACCTGTGTAGCCTCCAGTACGTAGTGCTGCACCACCAGCATCTCCTCGTTGGCCAGACACACGTGGTTCTCGCTCCGCAGGGTCACTGTGAACGCCTCACAGCTGATTGGCTGCTCCTTGTGGGGCCAGTACACGTACGGCTCCTCCCCCTCTGCCTGAGAACACAGATGTGGTAAGGACTTCCTGTTTGAGGCACAAAATGGCTGCCATGCATACATCAGCAGTTTTGAGTCCAGGAGGACAGATAGATACCCACCAAGCTTGGTGTTTCCGGCAGTGTGACGATGACCTGAGCATTGTGATCCCAGATCATCCTCCAGAAGTCTGTCACTGTGCCGGCCAGCGGGTTCTGGGTCACGATGAACTCAGTGCTTTGCCGGTACCCCTGGAAAACACAGCCGGTGGTAGAACATTGAGACCTGAATCCGATCGGCAATTTGGACAGGAATCCAAAAGTGAAATTTACTGGAAATGTGTTACAATGTGTAACTATGTAGTTAGTATCTGTCACTGTGACTTTTCTATCTAGAAGGGTTGGGTTCTTACCGTGAGGTATGAGGCGTTGATGTAGTCTGATGTAGTTTCTCCCGCCACCGTGGACAGACACACCCGCGACCTTTCAACTGGAGACAAAGCCACACATTGTTAAACTTCCTCTTAAGGTATACAGAATGTAATTTTGTAGAATATTACTATTAGAATTATTAGCTTTATCCGATTAGCATTACTAAACCATTACCATTGCTTTACCTACATAACATGATTTTGTCAGACATTTGCCTTACACCAAACAAGAGCAAAATGTGCCTCTCAAGGTTCATGCTCTCAAATAACTTTTTTGCTTTAATTTTTTTTATAACAGTTTTAGTTAGGAGGGGTTCAAGTGTGCAGGCATTTTGCTAAATGTTCTATTGAAAGTGACAATGTTGAGGTTGAGTGCTGATAGAAATCCAACCTGAAATGTAAAAAAGGTCTCATTGTCTACACTGTTCACAGTCGTGGTGGATGGTGTTCCAAGTTTAAGAGGAGGTTTTTAAAGTGTTGGAACCATTCAACGTATGAACAAACCTGTCTGGAACTCACCGGGTATTAAAGAGGAGTTTCTGTTCTTCTCTCTGTTACACTCTTTCAGGGCTGCCGAGTAGTCGCACTGTTTGGCATTGGACGAGGATATCAGCTGTAATCATATTGGAACCAAGGGGCAGATTAACGGTTAATGTTTCAAAATGTGCCAGCGGTTGCACCTGGTCTTTTCAGAGGACAAAGAAAGGCAACCGATAGACTTATTGTTCTCCAAATGTATGTCTGCCCTTTATGTCCTACTGGAGTTCTTATGGAATGTTTACATTTTACATTTTTTTTACATTTTAGTCATTTAGCAGACGCTCTTATCCAGAGCGACTTACAGTTAGTGCATACATTATTTTTATATACTGGCCCCCTGTGGGAATCGAACCCACAACCCTGGCGTTGCAAACGCCATGCTCTACCAACTGAGCTACATCCCTGCCCGGCCATTCCCTCCCCTACCCTGGATGACACTGGGCCAATTGTGCGCCGCCCCATGGGTCTCCCGGTCGCGGCCGGCTACGACAGGATCCTTAGACCACTGCGCCACTCGGGTTTACCATTGTAAATCTACAGTGAATGCCAATACTAGCACTATGACTTGTTAATAGCATGTGTCCTTACCTTAAACTGTTTCTCTAGCCGCGTCCTGCCGGAGGGCCCTGGGGTCAGGAGGTCATTGACGTAGCTGTGAATGCGGCTGGAGGGAACCTCCGTTTCCTTGCCCAAGATAGCCTCGACTAGGGCGTCGTGGATGAACACATACTGCTCCTGAATGCACAGGGAAAGTAGGGATTGAAAGCCTTAGTTGGGTGTTGTCATTCATACTGTTCTGGTAAGGTGACAGGACAACTAATCTTACTGTAGTGGATCCACTATTTTCTTGTTGGTATCAGACCTGGGTTCAAATAGTATTCTTTAAAATACTTTAGCTGCATTTGATGGAGCTTTCCTGGCACAATGGCACCAATAGAACAGTCCCAAAAGTGCAAACCCCGCCCACCTGGACGCTCACCTCTGTCTGTACCAGGTAGTTCCTCTGTGTGCGGATGTGTTTGAGGAAGCCCATGATGTTGACCGTGCCCTCTTCTTTGATCTGCTTCAGCATGCTATCCAACACTATGTAGGTACCAGTCCTGCCAACGCCAGCACTGGAAACACACACACACACACAAGAGAGGTTCACAATATATTCTGAATCCTGGTATTTTAAATTCCACTTTAGTTCTCCATTAAATAATGTTTCATGTTGAACTTCTCAGCTGTCCAGGTGAAAGCCCACTGGCTATAAGGTGAATGCACCAATTTGTAAGTCGCTCTGGATAAGAGCGTCTGCTAAATGACGTAAATGTAAATGTGAATGTAAAGTGGCTGCTAAGTGACATAATGGAGGACCATGTCCATGTTATTATATTTCTATGCCGGTCGGAATGTAAATTTACTTCCTGAATTGAAACATTCATGTATAGAAGAAGATAAAACATTTATTGACTGAATTTAAATGGAATTTCAGTTGATACAAATGGCATTGATTTTAAAGCTGTTCTATACATTCTACATATCTATGCATATATATATATATATATATACACAAGTTCATTCTACAGTACCAATCAAAGGTTTGGACACACCTACCTACCCAGGGTTTTACTTTACTTTTACAATTTTCTACATTGTAGAATAATAGTGAAGCCATCAAAACTATGAAATAACACATATGGAATCATGTAGTAACCAAAAAAGTGTTAAACAAATCAAAATATATTTTAGATTTTTCAAAGTACCCACCGTTTGCTTTGATGACAACTTTGCACACTCTTGGCATTCTCTCAACCAGCTTAACCTGGAATGCTTTTCCAACAGTCTTGAAGGAGTTCCCACATATGCTGAGCACTTGTTGGCTGCTTTTCCTTCACTCTGCGGTCCAACTCATCCCACACCATCTCAATTGGGTTGAGGTCGGGGGATTGTGGAGGCCAGGTCATCTGATGCAGCACTCCATCACTCTCCTTCTTGGTCAAATAGCCTTACACAGCCTGGAGGTGTGTTGGGTCATTGTCCTGTTGAAAAACAAATGATAGTCCCACTATGCGCAAACCAGATGGGATGGCGTATCGCTGCAGAATGCTGTGGTAGCCATGCTGGTTAAGTGTGCCTTGAATTCTAAATAAATCACAGACAGTGTCACCAGCAAAGCACTCCCACACCATCACACCTCCTCCATGCTTTATGGTGGGAACCACACATGCGGAGATCATCCGTTCACCTGCTCTGCGTCTCACAAAGACACGGCGGTTGGAATCAAAAATCTCACATTTGGACTCATCAGACCAAAGGACAGATTTCCACCGGTCTAATGTCCATTGCTCGTATTTCTTGGCCCAAGCAAGTCTCTTCTTCTTATTGGTGTCCTTTAGTAGTGGTTTCTTTGCAGCAATTTGACCATGAGGCCTGATTCACGCAGTCTCCTCTGAACAGTTGATGTTGAGATGTGTCTGTTACTTGAACTCTGTGAAGCATTTATTTGGGCTGCAATTTCTGAGGCTGGTGACTCTAATGAACTTATTCTCTGCAGCAGAGGTAACTCTGGATCTTCCTTTCCTGTGGTGGTCCTAATGGAAGCGAGTTTCATCATAGCGCTTGATGGTTCTTGAGACTGCCTTGAAGAAACTTTCAAAGTTCTTGAACTTTTCCGGACTGACTGACCTTCATGTCTTAAAGTAATGATGGACTGTCGTTTCTCTTTGCTTATTTGAGCTGTTCTTGCCATAATATGGACTTACAGGCTAGGATATTGATGTATCGGTTTTTGTTCTTGTTGTCTGGATGGTTGGAGCCGTCTGTGGTGATACCCAGGTCCACCCAGGAGGGGTTCAAGTGTGCAGGCATTTTGCTAAATGTTCTATTGAAAGTGACAATGTTGAGGTTGAGTGCTGGTAGAAATCCAACCTGAAATGTAAAAAAGTTCTCATTGTCTACACTGTTCACAGTCGTGGTGGATGCTGTTCCAAGTTTAAGAGTAGATTAGGTTTTTAAAGCGCTGGAACCATTCAACGTATGAACAAACATGTCTGGAACTCACCGGGTATTCAAGAGAAGAGGACTTGGTCTTTTACCAAATAGGGCTATCTTCTGTATACCACCCCTACCTTTTCACAACACAACTAATTGGCTCAAACACATTAAGAAGGAAAGAAATTCCACAAATTAACTTTTAACAAGGCACACCTGTTAATTGAAATGCATTCCAAGTGACTACCTCATGAAGCTGGTTGGGAGAATGCTAAGAGTGTGCAAAGCTGTCATCAAGGCAAAGAGTGGCTACTTTGAAGAATCTCAAATATAAAATATATTTTGATTTGTTTAACACTTTTTTGGTTACTACATGATTCCATATGTGTTATTTCATAGTTTTGATGTCTTCACTATTATTCTACAATGTAGAAAATAGTAAAAATAATGAAAAACCCTGGAATGAGTAGGTATGTCCAAACTTTTGACTGGTACTATATATCTATGGCCTCCTACCTGCAGTGCACTACGATAGGCCCCATGTCATCTGTCCTGGCTTTGGAGGACTTCTGGACAAAGGTGAGCACGGGCAGAGTGTACTCCGGCACGCCCATGTCTGGCCACTGAGTGTAGTGGTACTGGGTCACGGTCCGCTCGTTAATCCGCCCCTTCAGAGAAACCTGGGAGTTGGTGGGAGGAAAAAGGAAGTGGTAAGCAGGATCAGACACAAAATGGCTGTCAATGTGACACTTGGGATTCGTAGTTCCATAAGAAATGTTCAGAAGTAGTAATGAGGCAGCGCTTCAACTAACTTGCAGGGGAGGTGCAACCGAAGTAGATGATACAGTGAGGAAGTAGAGGTGAAACTATTAGGAGGTAAATGTGATGTAAATAGTGTGACCTCCGACCTTTTTGACCTTGGTGTTCCTGATGGTGAAGGTTCTCTGGGTGTAGTGGGCCAGAACCTTACTGCTCTTCACCGTCACCAGGAAACCACCGTACTCTTCCTGGCTCTCCAGGGGCCAGTACTGGTCGCACTTCCTCTGACATACACGACCAAACATTTTTGAATACTTTCACGAATAAGCATTAATAAACTATTTATGAACTATTACTAAATATGTTCAAGCATTACAACATTACAATCCTTCAGCATTTATAGCATGTATAAGCCGTTATAATGGCCCTGCTTTCTCACCCGTCCCTTCTCCACAAGGTTGGTAATCATGATGATGACGCCCACGTTCTGTTCCCACACCATCCTCCAGAAGGCCTCAGTGCTGGACTTGAGAGGGCCCTGGGCTGCAATGTAGGCCTTGGACGTGTTGAAACCCTGTGGAGGGGAGGGAGGGGTGGAGGGGAGGGAGGGGTGGAGGGGAGGGAGGGAGGGAGGGAGGGAGGGAAAGAAAAATGAAGAGTGAACAACAGATATATATATCAACAAGACATTTGCCCTCATAACAAATCAAATCAAATTGTATTTGTCACTTGCTTCGTAAAACAACAGGTGTAGACTAACAGTGAAATGCTTACTTACAGGTCCTTTTCCACTATTGTGCACAGAGAGAAATGCAAGAGAATTGCTTACGTCAATGTAGTTTGCGTTAATGTAATCTCCACTCTTCCCATCTTTGTCAGCTTGGGTTGAGAGCCTTACTCGGCTGTGGTCATCTAGGAGTAGATGAGGAAAGATAAGCTGGGTGCATTCAAGAATGTATGTGTGTGTACATGTGTTTGAAGGTGCATGTTTGACTTACAGGCCAGGATATTGATGTATCGGTTCTTGTTCTTGTTGTCTGGATGGTTGGAGCCGTCTGTGGTGATACCCAGGTCCACCGTGCACGCCTGCACCTCCTAAAAAAACACGTGACCTTAAATCCCACCATCCTCTTACCACGCAGTCAAACATAAATGTGTCATCATGCACGACAAAAACGTCAACATGGGCAGCTGGAAATGTGGCGAACATCTACACGCGACTACTACAGAAAAAAAGAAAATCAAATGAAAAAAAGGGAGATATAGCTTACCTCGTAACACTCTTTCAATATCTAACGGGGAGGGGGGAATGCAAAAAGCACAGCAATGAAATTTCATGACACATAGTTAGCAAAAAACGTGCAAATAAATAACAAGAAAACGGTTTATGGGCAAATCTCAAATCTCACTGTTTATGCGAGCAACAGGATTTAGTCCATGTACCATGTTAATGTCCTTAGCTTTAACTTACAAACCTATGTTTTTGTTATTGACAACATTTACACATGTATGCATTTACACAGTACTGATAAAATGCCAAGCTGGGATTTATATGGTAAGCAATGGTAAATATGTAGTTTAACATGAGCAATCACTGCATTTTATTGAACCCTTATTTTACCAGGTACGTTGACTGAGAACACATTCTCATTTACAGCAACGACCTGCGGAATAGTTACAGGGGGAGGAGAGGGGATGAATGAGCCATTAGGAAACTGGGGATGATTAGGTGGTATGAGGGCCAGATTGGGAATTTAGCCACGGCACCGGAGTTAACACCCCTACTCATACGATAAGTGCCATGGAATCTTTAGTGACCAAAGAGTCAGGACACCCGTTTAACGTCCCATCTGAAAGACAGCACCCTACACAGGGCAATGTCCCCAATCACTGCCCTGAGGCATTAGGATATTATTTTTTAAACCAGAGAAAAGAGTGTCTCCTACTGGCCCTCCAACACCACTTCCAGCAGCATCTGGTCTCCCATCCAGGGACCGACCCTGCTTAGCTTCAGAGGCAAGCTAGCAGTGGGATGCAGGGTGGTATGCTACTGGCCCTCCAACACCACTTCCAGCAGCATCTGGTCTCCCATCCAGGGACCGACCCTGCTTAGCTTCAGAGGGAAGCTAGCAGTGGGATGCAGGGTGGTATGCTACTGGCCCTCCAACACCACTTCCAGCAGCATCTGGTCTCCCATCCAGGGACCGACCCTGCTTAGCTTCAGAGGGAAGCTGGCAGTGGGATGCAGGGTGGTATGCTACTGGCCCTCCAACACCACTTCCAGCAGCATCTGGTCTCCCATCCAGGGACCGACCCTGCTTAGCTTCAGAGGGAAGCTGGCAGTGGGATGCAGGGTGGTATGCTACTGGCCCTCCAACACCACTTCCAGCAGCATCTGGTCTCCCATCCAGGGACCGACCCTGCTTAGCTTCAGAGGGAAGCTGGCAGTGGGATGCAGGGTGGTATGCTACTGGCCCTCCAACACCACTTCCAGCAGCATCTGGTCTCCCATCCAGGGACCGACCCTGCTTAGCTTCAGAGGGAAGCTAGCAGTGGGATGCAGGGTGGTATGCTACTGGCATTGAATATGATATATTTGTAAGTCTCAGTGGTAAGGACAATAGACATGACTCCTCAGATGAATCTGGGCCAGAGACATACAATAGCATGTAGCATGAGGCAGAGAGAGAGTGTGAGTTTGAATGGCCATCACAGTGCAAAGTCTCCCACAAGTCTTCTGCATGCTGACCTTAAAATAATGACAGCCACCGTGTAACATCGCAGATGACACATAACAGTTTCGCAAGAAGGCTACATACAGAAAAGCTAAATTAAAGACAGACAGTTGTAAAATTAAAACATGCTGCCAAGTAATACTAGTCATTTGTTGTCATCAACCATATCCTGTGAGAGAACTGAAGCAGAATTTGACAGCACACCTCAAACTCTCTGGAGAATGCGTTGGTGTCGTGGAGCTCTGTCACGTGCTCGACAAACTGCTTCACCGGAAGGGCTTCATGTTCATCTAAAGGCAGAGAGAAAAGGTTATTGATATCATCAACAAAACTATTTTATCAGAACAAAAGCTTGAAACTTCCTACTCTGGCGGAAGCAGATGTTGAGTAAGGTAGAGTTAATGAAAGAGCTAGGCTTGGTGAAGAGGGAAGGACAGATGGAAAGAACACCTGTCCATATGTCTCTGTGCTTGTTAACACTTTTATCTTACGCCAACTCTAATGAATTCTAGTTGACCCCATGGAAAAGGTGTGTGTGTGTGTGTGTGTGTGTGTGTTTGTGAAAGTGTGTACGGCCAAGATTCAATCAGATCAAATCAAATCAAATGTTATTTGCCACATGCGCCGAATACAATAGGTGTAGACATTACAGTGAAATGCTTACTTACAAGCTCATAACCAACAATGCAGTTTAAGAATAATATATTTTTTTTAATAGTCTGGGTAGCCATGATTAGCTGTTCAGGAGTCTTATGGCTTGGGGGTAGAAGCTGTTAAGAAGCCTTTTGGACCTAGACTTGGCGCTCCGGTACAGCTTGCCGTGTAGTAGCAGAGAGAACAGTCTATGACTAGGGTGGCTGGAGTCTTTGATAATTTTTAGGGCCTTCCTCTGACACCGCCTGGTATAGAGGTCCTGGATGGCAGGAAGCTTGGCCCCAGTGATGTACTGGGCCATACGCACTACCCTCTGTTGTGCCTTGTGGTCGGAGGCCGAGCAGTTGCCATACCAGGCGGTGATGCAACCAGTCAGGATGCTCTTGATGGTGCAGCTGTATAACTTTTTGAGGATCTGAGGACCCATGCCAAATATTTTCAGTCTCCTGAGGGGGAATAGGCTTTGTCATGCCCTCTTCACGACTGTCTTGGTGTGTTTGGACCATGATAGTTTGTTGGTGATGTGGACACCAAGGAACTTGAAGCTCGCAACCTGTTCCACTACAGCCCCGTTGATGAGAATGGGGGCATGCTCAGTCCTCTTTTTTTCCCTGTAGTCCACAATCATCTCCTTTGTCTTGAGCACGTTGAGGGAGAGGTTGTTGTCCTGGCACCACACGGCCAGGTCTCTGACCTCCTCCCTATAGGCTGTCTCATCATTGTCGGTGATCAGGCCTACCACTGTTGTGTCGTCGGCAAACTTAATGATGGTGTTGGAGTCGTGCCTGGCCATGCAGTCATGGGTGAACAGGTCAAGCGTTAACCGGCGATAGCCGACACCCACATAGCTGATGTTTTGGTGGTGTCGGAGGTGTAACTGCGTTGGAGCTGTCAAATCAGTGAGCAGCTGCTCTTGATCATTGTCACGAAGCCACACCCGTCCCACTCATGTTAGAAGTTCAGAACGAGAAAGTGTAGGCTATATAGAAATAATGACGCTCAAATTGAATATCATTAAACAAAATAAAATACGATTTCTATCATCCTAATGGAGGTGTAGATTACATCTCACATTCTAGTGTTCCAACTTGTAAACAAGGCTGCATGGGATTTCTCTTAATGCGACTCCGTGCAGCCAATGGCAATGTCCGCTTACGGTATAATGCCAGGAGCTCTAACCCAGTTCCACCTCCGACACCGCCAAAACAACTGCTATGCGGATGTCGGATCAATCGGATCTGATTGAATAGAGCCCTTTGTCTCATAGAATGGTTACCTGTAGCTGTATGCATGGGTATGGGTGAAACAGATATGACTCTGGGTGATGTGTTGTCCTCTATGTAGAAATGGGCAATCTGGAAACACTTCCTGTGGAAACAAATGTACGATGATACAAGTTAATCAACAATACACTTGTATAACAGCAGGTGTTGCCAGTTTCTTCTGTCTTCGTGACATATTGCCTTTTCTATTATACTTCTGGTACAAAAAAGATATTGCTTTTTTCCATCTAACACAAATGAGGGATTTGTATGCGTTGTTCTCATTTGGTGAAAAATGTGTGTTGAAAATTCTGTGACAAAAACACATAATAATATTTGAGTAATGCTTGTGTAAATGTAATAAAAACAACTGTAGATATATTTTTAAGATGTAAAGAAATACAACGGAGATAAGAAAGGCCTAAAAATGCTTTTGTTGTTGTTTTTGAACATACAAAGTCAACCACCAATGTTGGAGAACATGGTAATCTGTCCGCAACACAGGAAAAAAGATGTTCCTTCTAATTCGGGAAAGGTTTTTAACAGGAACACCACTGCATGTCTTTCTGATGAACCTGTGCTCAGCTACCCAAAAATGGACATCACCTCACAGATTACTCAAAAAAAAACAGCAAAGAGATGTCCCCAGTAGATTACATGTGTGCGTTTCTAAAAGACGTCCCCACTTTGCTAACCCCAAGTGCACAGCTGTGGGGTGGCCAAATGAGCAGTGTCACCGGAGGAAGTACAAGGACGCGACACGGAGGGGATTACTGCAATTCAGCCTCGCGCCACTCATCTTACAAGACGCTGACACGAAGCCTTCATGTCAGACATAATGAGGCGCAGGCACTTTCCCCCCCTCCTACCCCACGCGAGGCCCTGTTCCCCCCTCCTACCCCACGCGAGGCCCTGTTCCCCCCTCCTACCCCACGCGAGGCCCTGTTCCCCCCTCCTACCCCACGCGAGGCCCTGTTCCCCCCTCCTACCCCACGCGAGGCCCTGTTCCCCTCCTCCTACCCCCACGCGAGGCCCTGTTCCCCCCTCCTACCCCCACGCGAGGCCCTGTTCCCCCCCTCCTACCCCACGCGAGGCCCTGTTTCCCCCTTCCCCCCCCCCTGTTCCCCCCCATACCCCACCCGAGGCCCTGTTCCCCTCTCCTACCCCACCCGAGGCCTGTTTCCCCCTCCTACCCCACCCTAGGCCCTGTTTCCCCCCTCCTACCCCACCCGAGGCCCTGTTTCCCCCTCCTACCCCACCCCTAGGCCCTGTTTCCCCCTCCTACCCCACCCTAGGCCCTGTTCCCCCCTCCTACCCCACCCTAGGCCCTGTTCCCCCTCCTACCCCACCCAAGGCCCTGTTCCCCCTCCTACCCCACCCAAGGCCCTGCTCCCCAACCACTGTACGACCCCGAGGCCCTGTTCCCCCTCCTACCCCACCCAAGGCCCTGTTCCCCCTCCTACCCCACCCAAGGCCCTGTTCCCCAACCACTGTACGACCCCGAGGCCCTGTTCCCCCTCCTACCCCACCCAAGGCCCTGTTCCCCCTCCTACCCCACCCAAGGCCCTGTTCCCCAACCACTGTACGACCCCAAGGCCCTGTTCCCCCTCCTACCCCACGCGAGGCCCTGTTCCCCCCTCCTACCCCACCCAAGGCCCTGTTCCCCCTCTTACCCCACCCAAGGCCCTGTACCCCAACCACTGTACGACCCCGAGGCCCTGTTCCCCCCTCCTACCCCACCCAAGGCCCTGTACCCCAACCACTGTACGACCCCGAGGCCCTGTTCCCCCTCCTACCCCACCCAAGGCCCTGTTCCCCAACCACTGTACGACCCCGAGGCCCTGTTCCCCCTCCTACCCCACCCAAGGCCCTGTTCCCCAACCACTGTACGACCCTGAGCCCCAAGCTCAACGCTCTACACTCTGAGTGAGGAACATCTCTTAGCTTTAATCCCTCATCGGCACCAAGATTATTACAGGCTTAACATGAAAATACAATAACAGGGCAGAAAACATGAACAATATGTCACGTCTCCAGCCCAGTGGATGAGAAATGTACAGTCTTATGCAGCTAAAGTGTTTACATTTCTGATAACGTGTTCTTGATCGGATTGCCAATGTTGGTTATTTAACTGTCCAACCATTCAGTTTGCTGCCACAGTGAAAAGTAGTATTTTTCTATGATCTCACAGTATGGGCAAAATGTCTTTATAACTAGAGACGGGCAACTCTGAATGATGGCAGTTATGTGTAAGTGAATCTACCCAGACACATCAAAGCTAATGTGAAAAGCCAGACCTCAAACCGAAACCCTGTTGAAGATATTGGATGTGTCATGGGGAAGTGTGTGAGAGTGAGAAGGAGATTGGGCCCGTGTCAGAGGAGATTAGGTCTCACAGTGAGACAGACAAATATGTGGTTCTTAAGGTCAACCTCGCTCCCCCTCTGCTACCCCCGCCTCGCTCCACCCGTGCCTCCTGATGTCTGGGGCGGCAGTGCCCCGTGTCTGGGGACGAAACAGACCCACTCCTCTGAGACAGATGAATAACAATATGACAGGTATCAGCCCTGCGGCAGTTCCACACAGCTGTCCCATAGGGAGGCAGAAGGCTTAATGGTGTCAGTATGTGTGTGGAGCCTATCAATGCAGAAAGAAAGCTGTTGTTCATGTAGCTTAGCTGTCAGATTAAACAGATGATGCGTGGGGTCAGGGGGAATCGATGGGAGAGGATTTCTCAACATCATCACCATAATATTCATCATCATTGGATCTAATCATTACGGATCTTATAATAATCATCATTATGGATATAATCCTCCTCCTCCACCTACTCCTCCTCTCCTCCACCACTTCTTCCTCCTCCTCCATCTCCACCTCCTCCAAACTCCTCCTCTCCTCCTCCACCTACTCCTCCATATCCACCTCCTCCACCTCCACCTCCTTCTCCTGCTCCTCCCTCTTACCTCCAGTAGACGAGGATTCCCAGCAGGACGATGAGTCCCAGGATGGTGAGGGTGGAGACCACTGCCAGAGGGACCACGGCCCTCCTCTCTCTCTCCCTGGCCAGACCCACCCTGGACTCATGGCTGCTGTTACTGGCCTCTGTAAGCGTTGGAGGGGGAAGAACAGATGAGGAGATATCTACTTTTGACTATTGAGAAACACAACACAACTCCCACAACATATCATTCACTCATTCAACTACAACACATTGACTGACAAACACTTCCAATAGTAAATCAATCCACATACTCATCCAACTTACCTTCCAGTTCTAATACATAGAGTAATATAGAGCCCCTCCTTGAACTACGTAACCTTGTTAACTTACATTTTAAACGCTACAGTAGACATTCGCTTTAACATCTTCATACCCATTCAGCTAACAAATCTAAACCTATGGCTACTTCTTTAACCCATATACAATGGCGACAACGATACGGATGAAAGTGAACACAAATGCTTTCACAAAGTTAACATGCACTACAGGTTAGTTCATGACAATGGCTCAAAGCTTGACGCACACAATGGCTTATATCTATGGGGCTCTCAATGAGCGGATACCATAAAAACCTATTGGCAAAACTACACTTCTATTGCAAAGGCTTGAATGCAGATGGACTTTCTATTAAATTAGTTTTCTTGTCTGGGGTCTGGATGTGGACAGATATATGGGATATTATACAGGATCTTCAAGGTCACCAATCACAAAAGATTTGGACAGGGGCCCTGAGACTGTCTCAATGATTTGTGAATTACATAGACTGTAAAAGGGGACATTAGACCTCTCGTGGTCTGCTAAGGCTAACTACATATCTGTTTCGGTGCGAGTTGGGATTGGGAAGAGATCTGCTGCCCTCTGCTGGAGATGAAGTGCTACACCCAATGGGGTTCTTCACATGATGTTACAATACACAATTGAGACAAAGGCATGTGCATGTGCATGTTAATGTTAATGGATATAACACAAAACACGTAACAAAGAACACTGAAATTATGATGCCTGTGGACTTGATTGTGAAAATGTTATAGAAAGCAGAAAGGCCATGACGGTGAACACACACACACACACACACACACACACACAGGATTTGGTGGTGTGTTAGGTGATGTGTCTCCTAAATTCCAAAGTATTTCCTGTTGCATTGGCATCATGGGAGCTGTAGTTTTCCGCAATCCGACAGGCGCAGCACTGTGCCTTGCCTTGATGTACGAGGAGATGTTGCCCCCTTGTGGATGGTTCTTTACCTGCAACTGGCTCCTCCTCCTCAGAGTCTCTCTCTGTGCGCTCGGTGATAGTGATGTCTGAGGACGTCTCGTTGTCGTACAGGCTCTCACCCTGCCCCGAGCCACTCTCCACCTCCCCACCTAGCGACCAGGGCGCCGCCGCGGTTACCCCAGAAACTGTCGGCGTGCTCCCCGCTGTATCCATGGTGACGGCACTGCCGCTCTCGCTCTCAAAGTAGAACGACAAGGAGCGTTCTTCTGTGTCGATGTTGGGAGAGGCGGTGGCTTCAGAGGTGAGTGAGGGGGTGAAGGTGGGGATGTAAGGGAGGGCGCCCTCCCCCGAGGCTGAACTCTGAACCTTGTCCCACTCCTCATCTAGCTCCTCTTGGGCTTCTCCCGACAGGTTCGAGCCAGAGGCACTACTGTCTACCGTCTGCAGGTCAGGGAGGAGGGTGGGGGTGAGGGGGGAGGCTGTGGAGGAGGAGGATGGGGCCAAGGTTCGGCGGTCCTCGGAGCCGGACGGTGTGGCTGTAACAGAAACGAGCAGGTCACTATGGGAACCGGAGAGAGGAGGATGAGGAGGAACAGGGGAAGAGGAGGAGGAGGAGGAGGAGGAGGAGAGAGGCTGACCTCCAGACGGGTTGGTGAAGCCCGCCATAGATGAATGGAGGAGATGGTCTAAGTCACTACCGGAGGAGTAGAGCGCTAGGCTAGCCGCCCCCCAGTCAGACGTGGGAAGGGGGAGGTGAGGAGAGGCATGCAACCAGGAGGAGGATGAGAAGCCATCCAGAGAGCAGGTACACAACGACTCCACGCCATCGCTAGCTACCGTGAACCCAACATCACCACCACCACCACCGACGACACCCTCCAGACAAGACTCTACTACACGGCCTGTAGCGTAACTAGAGTCCCCCAGCCCGCCAGATACAGAGCCAGTGAGGCCCGGGGTGGCCCCGGACAGAGAGAAGTCACTAGAGAGGAGAAGAGAAGGCTGCAGGGAGAGAGAGGTTGCAGGGAGAGGTCTGAAGGCTAGCTTAGACAGGTCCCGCTCAGTGGGAGAGTCAGGTAAGGTTTGAAGGGGGTGAGTGTCACTAAACATTGGGGGGTCACCCGAGGCCACGGACGAAGAACCAGACGACACATCATCATCACCAACACCATGAGAGACGACTGTCTCCCAACCAGACAGGGGGTGTGAGGGGTGAGGGAGGAGAGACAGGGTGGGGGAGGTAGTGACGTATGAGTCACCACTAGACAACAGTGCTGTAGCAGCATGCAGGGAGTCCCGCCTGCTCACAGACGACAGGGGTCTAGACGAGGGAGGGGCATGCAGGCAGGAGGTGGGGTCGTTGCTAGGGGTGGAGCCGGGGTTTCCAGGGGTCGACGTGTCACACACAGGGAGGGTGGAGGGGAGGATCTCACCGTTGAACACCGGCTGTGTGGTCTGCGAGAGTACCCCGCCGAAGGAGGAGGCAGTGGATGAAAACAAGGGCATGCTGGGACTTGTAGGCCGTGGTGGTTCTCCCTGAGAGAGGAAGGGGGCGGAAGTGGCCACGTTCCGGCTTTCCGGGAGAGGGGTAGCCATGGAAACACCGCTGCCTTTGCCGCTTGGGACGGTCACAGGACGCGCCACCCCTCTGCCCTTCTCCGTCCTGGTTGACGAAGTGGTGATGTCATCAGTGCGTGATGGCAGAGTGGTCGCTGTAGTGGTATACTTCTGGGTTCTCCCCCTGCCTCTGCTGCCTGCCGAGACGGCCCCCTCTGGTGCTCTGGTTGTGGTGTAGTACCTCTCACTCGGCTCCGTGGACGTCTGCGCTCGGTTGGATTGAGTGGTCCTGGATGGAGTGCCTGGTGTGGTGGTTCTCCTCTGGACAAAAGGGGTGGTGGTTCTGATACCAGGCAAGGGGAGGCTGGGTGGGCCAGTGGTTGTTGTGGGCCTGGTTCTCGTAGGGCTTTGGGTTGTCCAGTCCATGTCATTGTCCTGTTCTTCACCCGGTTCAGCCCACGGTCCATAGTCCTCCTGGTGGGGAAAAACAGTCACAGAGTGCATGGGAAAATACTGATGTCTTGTCATGAGACACTACTCCTCGTCCTATATCCTACATTTAAATGAATGGTTTTCTTGCAGTACGCTACCGACAGTATCACCACATTGCATTATGGAATAAGCTAAATGTATGCAATATTATACTTACTTCCTCTTCAAATTCATTAGAATTTGGATAAGGGGTGGCCTCTGAAAAGAATCACAGATGATAGCGTTAGATGATTTTGCACATAATAATGTCCCTTCCCTATGAGCAAAGGACGTTGAAAAGACGTTACTGTACAGACGTAGGATCTTAATTTGAGCCAGTTTGCTACAGCAGGGAAATAATCATGCAGCAACAGGAAATGTGAATTATTATGTGGATTATAATTAATGGACATTTTTGTTGGGGTTGATACATTTTTCATAAGGGAAAATCAAGTCTGAAATGCCAAACTTGTGGAAATTACAAACGTCTGAATCCTTTTTAAACCCCAATACACTTCAAATTTTTAAAAATCCTGCATCGCAGGAAAGTTCTCCTGCAACAGGGTGATCAAATTAAGATCATACATCTGTAAACATGTTCATATGAATATCAAAGACGGTATGACAATCAAAGAAAACAGCCTAGACATTGTTTTGTGTGATTTGTTTTTCTTCAATTTAGTTACAATATTGACAATTACTAGCAATGGCATTATAATCTATTATATTGGTCCCATTGACAAACCCAACGATGTTGTAACAGACAAGCACTTTACTTGAAATGTACATTAAAACGTGACTGAGAAAATATCTATAGGGAAAGCTATCGGACAAAAACTCACACACACAAACATTGTGAGACAATACGTGAAAACCATTCTGTTTCTGATGAAAAACGTAATTTTAATTCACAGATTGGTCTTCAGGTCCAGGATAGAGGCTTGACAAAATCTCTTCAGAAGCTTGATATCCATTAAGGTCACATCTTTCAATGGGTGCACAGTATATGAAGTGGAAAATTATTCGATATATTATTAACCTATATTAGAAATCTTTGAGAATATGTTGCTGTTGGTGTAGACACCAGGTTAGATAACGACAGGAGGGAGATGTTTGGTTATATTGGGTAGAACTTCCGGGTCAGCACAAACTGAGTGTTAACACACACACACACACACATCCTCTTACCTTGATGGGACTAAATTACACATCATGGAGGCCTCAGGCCTGATCAGAATGGGTTTTGAAGAATGAGGTGGGTTTTTAAAGAGTTAAGTGGAGAGGGAAGGAATTAATGAATGAGTGCACAACCAGGGCTCACAAATGAGTTGTTTTATCACCACAATTGTCACAGGACATTAGGTCGCACAATTGTATCAAGTCATTTGGATGAGTGTGTACAATTCATGCACATTGAAATATGATGCAGAGGATTTTTAGCAAGCAAAAATTAGTTTATTATCAACTTCAGTAGATACAGAGTTCCCATCATTTCATACAAATGCTGCACATAAGCAAACATTCTCTCACTGTGACCGGAGGAAATGATGCCATTGTAAAACAAAAAGGGCTGTTTTTTTGTCTTTTATGTGACATAGGACACATGGAATAACCTTTGACCTCAACCAAACAGATTGAGGGGGGCATTCCTCGCCTTAGAAATATAGAAAAGCACATTTGAAATAAGTACATAGACAGAAGAGCACATGAAAAACCGAAGCTTTCAGCAGAGACAGAACACACTACAAACACCAGTAGAACATAGAGGAACTGGGTGTATGTTAAAAGGAACAGGACTAGACAGAAAGAAGACAGAGAGTGGATGGCATACAGGGAGCACGGCCATGATGGCTGGGGAAACAGAAGTGTTTCTGGAAACCTGTTACAGTTCGGTAGGTGTGACATATGTGGAACGTGTGGACACCAATCAGAATTTCAGAAACCACGACAGAACTAGATCTTAACTTCCTCCGAATTTCCCAACACAATCCATTAATGCCTAATTTAGTCTATCTGATAAGCCTTCACAACATCTTATTTGCAAACTGACTGACTAGCTACACTAGTGGTAAGTGTGACTGCTGTTAAGACCTACCATTCAAGAGACACAATAAAGGGAACTGGTTTGCAAATGATCAACCATCTAGGTTTGGTCTCTACTCTCCATGTCATCAGAACGCTACGTACGGTCTGTGTAGAGGTATTGGCGGTCGGTCTTACCTGGGTCGTCGATGGGCATGTCGACGATCAGCTGCTCGCTCACGCGGCCGTACAGACCGTTGGTGCACACGGCCACCACCTGCACCACATAGCTAGTGTTTGCTATCAGGTCCTGCAGCATGGCCCCCTGGGGAACAACAGGGAGAGGTGAGTACAGGGGGTTTAGGGTGATGGTGGAGGTGGTGGTGAAGGAGAAGGTGGTGGTGGTGGTGGTAGTGGTGGTGGAAGAGGAGGAGGAGGAGGAGGAGGTGGTGGAGGAGAAGGTGGTGGTGGTGGTGGTGGTGGAGGAGAAGGTCGTGGTGATGGAGGAGGTGGAGGTGGTGGTGGTGGAGGAGGTGAAGGTGGTGGAGGTGGTGTTGTGGGGGGGGTTATAGCATTATAGCATCTGTTCTTGCATTCAATCACACTATGGTTCTTTAGTTTCTTTGTTTGTTCATTCCTTCATTAATTTATTAATTCATGCAAACCTTCTGAAATGTGATTGACTGGGTTTGTTAGTCCACTGAATTATAGTTAGCGAGTGTTAGTTCACCACCACCACTACATAAAGGACGCTCACCACATCCTGGTCTCCGTCAGTCAAGTACTCGAAGGCCGCAGAGTCCTCTCCCTGAGCCAGCCTGTAGGTGACTGAGTACTTCTCTATCCCGGCGTCGTACACCGCCCTCGGCCGCTCCCACATCACCAGCAGGCTGGTCAGGTTATGGGGGTCCGCCTGCACGTTCTCCGGCTCTGAACTGCAGGCTGACAGAGAAAGAAGGGAGAGAGCAAGAGAGAGAGAGAGAGAGAGAGAGAGAGAGAGAGAGAGAGAGAGAGAGAGAGAGAGCAAGAGAGAGAGAGAGAGAGAGAGAGAGAGAGAAATAGACCGCGAGAGAGACAGAAAGGGAGAGATAGAGAAGTAAAAAATTAATTTTGATTAATAAGTATCAAATATAAGAGAATCAGCCTCAACTGGGTATTTGTCCTTCCTTATTGGTCCCAGTTAAGAGGGGTAACACCCATGCTTCACAACACCTATGTGTCACCATCACTGATTAGCGCTCCGGTACTAATGCAGATCACAGACCCACAGAGACCCTGGGATTAATCCAGATTACGGGAGTAAAGAGAGATTAAAATCAATCAATCAATCAATGAGACAATGGCCAGGTACAATAACTAAACTGTTCACACATTTCCTACATCCTAAAATCTGCACTTCAGTTTACCTACTGATTTCTCCTCTTGCCCAGGGGGGTGGGGTGGTGAATACATTCATTTCATGTGTTTAATGATGGTGAGGGATTTCAGAAAGAGAGAGACTCACAGTTGTACAAATCCCCTTTTCAACACAAGAGGGCAGAGAAAAGCAAAGAAACAGCAGTCTTTTCCTAACCACTCGCAAAACAAATCACAACAAAAGCACGAAAATACTTGTTATTTCTATTTTGTTGTGATGTGCATCTCCCTCTGGTACACAAATGGTATGTCCAATAACAACAGGGAAGCAAGACACATTTCACACCTATTCATGTACATTATAGCATATTCAATGCACTCTATCCATTTTTCAAAGTCATTTGAAAAGTCCTCTGTGAAAGTGAGAAGGCAGCCACAGACTCTGAGCAGGTAACCTAGCAACACCTAATTACCACCTGGTCTAAAAGAACTGAGAGACTAATATCAATGCTAACATGACAGAGAGAGTGAGACTGTCCCTGGCCTAGTGTATTAGCCTGGTGCCTAAGCATCCACAACAATTAAATTCTCCCTTTAAGGTTCACATTTATTTGGGTGCGGAGCTAACATGTTGGAGTGAACGCCTGTGTTTGAGAGAGGCTCCCGCAACTTTTTACGAAACAATCTAACTTAACCTACTTTACTGCACTTTTTACACCATAACTATCTTTTTAATACAATAGTGTAACTTTTTATGTCAACATGTCGAGTAATAGGCGACTAAAGGACAATAAATCCTCATCGGTGACCTACTCCCCACCAAACAACGAGACAGCCATGGCAGAAGGCACATGTAATAACGTGACAATTTATTAAACCGTTTCAGCAAGGGCTGCCGATTTAAGTTTTATTGTTGTTCCCGGACATGCAGGACGCTGACCCGGCCACTGGAGGGCGATCGGAGCTTTCATTTCACTTTCATTCTGGCTGGACGACTGACCTGTCGTTGGATTGTAGAGCGATGCCTGTTTGATTGGCTTGCCAGGTTTGATCATTGACACTTTCGGATGGATGTCCTTATATTCCCCAATTTTTGTTTGGTTTCGTTGTATATTTATTTATCAATTTTTACTTATTATTATTATGATTATTATGACCTTTTATTGTTTGTGCAGGGGGCTTGTGGTCATGTTGGTTAAACAAATCAATTTTTATTTTTATTTTAGATTCTTCAAATAGCCACCCTTTGCCTTGATGACAGCTTTGCACACTCTTGGCATTCTCCCAACCAGCTTCACCTGGAATGCTTTTCCAACAGTCTTGAAGGAGTTCCAACATATGCTGAGCACTTGTTGGCTGCTTTTCCTTCACTCTGCCGTCCGACTCATCCCAAACCATCTCAATTGGGTTGAGGTCGGGGGATTGTGGAGGCCAGGTCATCTGATGCAGCACTCTATCACTCTACTTCTTGGTAAAATAGACCTTACACAGCCTGGAGGTGTGTTGGGTCATTGTCCTGTTGAAAAACAAATGATAGTCCCACTAAGCCCAAACCAGTTGGGATGCCGTATCGCTGCAGAATGCTGTGGTAGCCATGCTGGTTAAGTATGCCTTGAATTCTAAATAAATCACAGACAGTGTCACCAGCAAAGCACCCCCACACCATAACACCTCCTCCTCCATGCTTTACGGCGGGAACTACACATGCGGAGATCATCCGTTCACCCACACCGCGTCTCACAAGGACACGCCGGTTTGAACCAAAAATCTCCAATTGGACTCCAGACCAAAGGACACATTTCCACCGGTCTAATGTCAATTGCTCATGTTTCTTGGCCCCAAGCAAGTCTCTTCTTCTTATTGGTGTCCTTTAGTAGTGGTTTCTTTGCAGCAATTCGACCATGAAGGCCTGTGTCACACAGTCCCCTCTGAACAGTTGATGTTGAGATGTGTCTGTTACTTGAACTCTGTGAAGCATTTATTTGGGGAGCAATTTCTGAGGCTGGTAACTCTAATGAACTTATCCTCTGCAACAGAGGTAACTCTGGGTCTTCCATTCCTGTGGCGGTCCTCATGAGAGCCATACTGCTTGAGTGTAAGTGCTACATATGCTGCTCTTGATGGTTTGGTGCGCTTTCATACCTTTTTATTGAGTTGCACGTTACGCAGGCCACCATAGGAACTACAAACGAGAGGAGGGCGGGGCTTGAATTTACTTCCTGGAATGTCAACGGTTTAAATGAACCAATCAAGAGAGGGAAGGTCCTAGCCCACTTGAAATCACTCGTCTGATATTATATTTTTGCAAGAAACCCATCTGAAAAACAATTCTCATAGCAGACTTAAATGTAGGTGGGTGGGTCAAGTGTATCATTCTAGCTTCTCCGCCAAAACGAGAAGCACAGTGATTCTGGTATGGAAAGGAATCCCCTTTCTACATAAAACCACTATTGCGGATAAAGAGGGTCGCTATGTGATCATAATAGGAGAGATCCATTCTACTTCTGTAACTCTACTGAATATCTATGGGCCAAACATTGATAACCCCACCTTTTTCAAAAGAGTCCTTGCCCTGATTCCAGATATCGCCCATATTAACCTGGTCATTGGGGGGAACCTTAACTGTGTGCTAGACCAATATTTGGATAGATCCTCTACCCGGCATAGCTCTACCCCCTATTCAAGCAAATTCTTGAATACCTACATACATTTTTTAAACTTATTTGATATTTGGAGGATCTCCAACCCTACGGGTAGGGAATACTCCTTTCACTCTCATGTTCACAATGTTTATACCCGAATGGACTACTTTTTGATTGATGCTAAATTACTCCCTTATACCTGTAATGTGATGTATCATGATATTATAATCTCTGACCACAGTTCACTCACCTTTTCCCTGAGATTGGGTGACATCGTATCAAGCGAGAGGGTCTGGAGTTTTAATCCTCAGCTTCTCACAGAACCGACATTCTGTGAACATCTTGAAGACCAAATTACATTTTTCTTTGATACCAACGACAACACAGACTTCCCCAGCAGTATTGTGGGAAACACTGAAGGCTTATTTGAGAGGCTGTATCATCAGGAGAAGGCAAAGCAGAGAAACATTTGTAGAATTGGAGGGACAAATTCACTTACTGGATAGGGAGAATGCTAGTCATCCATCTATGGAGAAAAATAAAAAAATTACTGCTTTAAAATTTGAATATAAATCTGATTCTCTCAGCTAAAATTGCAAAATCTTTTCTCGATGCCAAACAAAAACATTTTCAGTTTGGTGACAAACCACACAAATTACTTGTCAGCCAACTTCGAAAAACTGAGAGTGACCGAATGATTCACAAAGTTAAATCTGCAACTGGGGAATTACTCTCTTCCCCCAAGGACATCAATGACAGATTCCGTCAGTTTTACGAGACTCTATATAAATATCTTAGCAAAAACTCTGGCTAACAGGCTTAGCACGTTAGTGGGCAAATTGGTCCATTCGGACCAGACCGGTTTTGTCCCTAACAGAAACATTCTTCAATCTCAGGCGCCTCTTCAACATTATGTATTCTCAGAGGTTACCCAACGTGGACCTTGCCGTTATATCTCTTGACACCGAAAAGGCCTTTGACCATTCGCGCAAAACTGAAAGCGTGAACCACCGCATTTAACCATGGCAAGGTGACTGGGAATATGGCAGAATACAAACAGTGTAGCTATTCACTCCGCAAGGCAATTAAACAGGCAAAACATCAGTATAGAGACAAAGTGGAGTCGCAATTCAACGGCTCAGACACGAGACGTATGTGGCAGGGTCTACAGACAATCACAGACTACAAAAGGAAAACCAGCCACGTCGCTGACACCGACGTCTTGCTTCCGGACAAGCTAAACACCTTCTTCGCCCGCTTTGAGGATAACACAGTGCCACCGACGCGGCCCACTACCAAGGACTGTGGGCTCTCCTTCTCCGTGGCCGACGTGAGTAAGACATTTAAGCATGTTAACCCCGGCCCAGACGGCATCCCTAGCCGCGTCCTCAGAGCATGCGCAGACCAGCTGGCTGGTGTGTTTACGGACATATTCAATCTGCTGTCCTCACATGCTTCAAGATGGCCACCATTGTTCCTGTACCCAAGAAAGCAAAGGTAACTGAACTAAATGACTATCGCCCCGTAGCACTCACCACTGTCATCATGAAGTGCTTTGAGAGACAGCTCAGCTGGTAGAGCACGGCGCTTGTAACGCCAAGGTAGTGGGTTCGATCCCCGGGACCACCCATACACAAAAAAAAAAAAAATGTATGCACGCATGACTGTAAGTCGCTTTGGATAAAAGCGTCTGCTAAATGGCATATTATTATTATTATTATTATCATATCACCTCTACCTTACCTGTCACCCTAGACCCACTTCAATTTGCTTACCGCCCCAATAGATCCACAGACGATGCAAATCGCCATCACACTGCCCTATCCCATCTGGACAAGAGGAATACCTATGTAAGAATGCTGTTCATTGACTATAGCTCAGCATTCAAAACCATAGTACCCTCCAAGCTCATCATTAAGCTCGAGGCCCTAGGTCTGACCCCCACCCTGTGCAACTGGGTCCTGGACTTCCTGACGGGCCGCCCCCAGGTGGTGAAGGTAGGAAACAACACCTCCACTTCGCTGATCCTCAACACTGGGGCCCCACAAGGGTGCGTGCTCAGCCCCCTCCTGTACTCCCTGTACTACTACACAACAGTGGTAGGCTTGATTACCAACAATGACAAGACAGCCTATAGGGAGGAGGTGAGGGCTCTGGGAGTGTGGTGCCAGGAAAATAACCTCTCACTCAACGTCAACAAAACAAAGGTGATGATCGTGGACTTAAGGAAACAGCAGAGGGTGCACCCCCCTATCCACATCGACGGGACCGCAGTGGAGAAGGTGGAAAGCTTCAAGTTCCTTGGCGTACACATCACTGACAAACTGAATTGGTCCACCCACGCAGACAATGTGGTGAAGAAGGCGCAACAGAGCCTCTTCAACCTCAGGAGGCTGAAGAAATTTGGCTTGGCACCTAAAACCCTCACAAACTTTTACAGATGCACAATTGAGAGCATCCTGTCGGGCTGTATCACCGCCTGGCACGGCAACTGCACCGCCCGCAACCGCAGGGCTCTCCAGATGGTGGTGCGGTCTGCCGAACGCATTACCGGGGGCAAACTACCCGCCCTCCAGGACACCTACAGCACCCGATGTCACAGGAAGGCCAAAAAGATCATCAAGGACATCAACCACCCGAGCCACTGCCTGTTCACCCTGCTATCATCCAGAAGGCGAGGTCAGTACAGGTGCATCAAAGCTGGGACCGAGAGACTGAAAAACAGCTTCTATCTCAAGGCCATCTGACTGTTAAATAGCCATCACTAGCACATTAGAGACTGCTGCTGCCTATAGAAATCACTGGCCACTTTAAGAAATGGAACACTAGTCACTTTAATAAGTTTACATATCTTGCATTACTCATCTCATATGTATATACTATATTCTATAATATTCTACTGTATCTTAGTCCATGCCGCTCTGTCATTGCTCATCCATATATGTATATATTCTTAATTCCATTCCTTACTTAGATTTGTGTGTATTGGGTATATGTTGTGACATTGTTAGATATTACTTGTTAGATATTACTGCACTGTCAGGGCTAGAAGCACAAGCATTTCGCTAAACCCGCAACAACATCTGCTAAACACGTGTATGTGACAAATAAAATGTGATTTGATTTGACCAAGTTGAGTGGTCCTATCTATTTAAGGACCTACAGAAATGTAATATTGGAGATGGGTTCATAAAATGGATCCAGTTTCTATATAGGAACCCCTGTGCGAGAATACTCACTAACCAATCATTGTCACCCCGATTTAACCTTTATAGAGGGACAAGGCAGGGTTGTGTGCTGTCGCCTTGATGGATGATGAAGGGGGGATTGATGGAGGGATGGATATGGGGGGGGGTGACATCTGCCTCTTTCTGTTTACCTGTTCTGGTTCTGTATATCTTATTTTGTATTATTTATTTTTGACCTATAACTCTGGGTCTTTTTGTATCTGTCTGCTCTTTTATGTGTATATAAGAATGGCATATTTGTCTTTTCTACAAAGTACTTATACACCATTCTTGTGTGTGTTCAATAAAAAAATATTTCAACGAGGTTAACATTTATTTTATTTATTTAACTAGGCAAGTCAGTTAAGAACAAATTCTTATTTACAATGACGGCCTACTTGTAAAGCCCCCCCCCCCCCCCCCCCCCCGGAAAGAGAGTCTGGGTATAATTAAGGAGGTACACACAAACATGCTGTCTGAATATTGAATGCCTGCCAGGCTTCCAGCATCCACATGCTAGTTAAAGACCTGATTATGTCGATAACACACACCAAACTACTGCAATCACTTCTTTAGTAGGGTGAGGGATGCCCAAAATAGGGCCCGGTAGTGGTGACAGGCAGGCAGGTTCACAGTTGGGTTACCAGTGCTTGCCTCATATATAACAAAATCCCCTTATGAAATTTTAACAGGCCACCTGTGTCAAAGATATTTTGTATGTTTGATATTGGCATGTTGCTATTTTCTGCTCAGAATGTAATATTCTATGCTCTGCTGCAATGAAAATGTAGGTATGCTAGCAGATACCCATAGATTTCCAGTCATTGCGCTAACGGCAGTTAGCATTGGCTCTCAAAACTACCTCTAACTTCCTTCATACTGGACACAGAGACATACAAATGGTATCCACAAGTTCATCTGACTCCCTTTAATACATATTTGCCTAACTGCCCTACATCTACCTTCACAGCAGACTTTTGTTCCAGCCCAGCATTAACATATCTGAATCTATTCATCACCTAATGAATCATCAAGACCATGAATAGTTGAATCAGGTGTTAGTACCAAAAACCAGGAGTGAGTACAAGAGATTCATTCTATGGCTAGAGGACTCCTGATATCTCCAGGAGTGAATACAAGAGGTTCATTCTATGGCTAGAGGACTCCTGATATCTCCAGGAGTGAATACAAGAGATTCATTCTATAGCTAGAGGACTCCTGATATCTCCAGGAGTGATACAAGTAATTTTTGTCTTAATCTGTTGTTTTCTAGTACTGTCTTTTTGCTAGCTAGGGCCATCTACTTTACTATTTTCCCTCTTACTATCTCTGCCTTTGCTGATAGCTACTTTATTGAGGAAAAATGTACTTACTATGACTGTGATACGTGGTTGTCCCACCTAGCTATCTTAAGATGAATGCACTAACTGTAACTCGCTCTGGATAAGAGCGTCTGCTAAATTACTAAAATGTTAAACGTTAAAAATGTCAAAGGGATGTATGGATGGAGACAGACAGACAGGTACCTACTAGGAGTGAGGACCTCCTCTGACAGACACACAGGTACGTACTGGGAGTGAGGACCTCCTCTGACAGACAGACAGACAGGTACGTACTGGGAGTGAGGACCTCCTCTGACAGACAGACAGACAGGTATGTACTGGGAGTGAGGACCTCTTCTGACAGACAGACAGGTACGTACTGGGAGTGAGGACCTCCTCTGTGCCGGTATAGGAGGAGAAGACCTGTCCCATGAACTGATGCTGCTGCTCCCTGAAGTTGTTCTGCAGGTAGTCCATCAACATCACATAGCCTGCCTGCTGCATGGTCATCACCTCACAGAACATCTCCAGCTACAACACAATAGAACCAACACATTCATAAACACATTATTACACAGTTATAACATGTCACAATGTTCTATAGTCTGCTACATGGTCATCACCTCACAGAACATCTCCAGCTACAACACAATACAACCAACATGTTCATAAACACATTATTACACATTAGTGCTTGTTATTGCATGGTGATTTCACATTGTGTCCTTGGGCACAAGGCCACACAAGGAAAGGCCACATAAAGATCATCGAAAATGATGGTCGTCTACAAAACTTGCTAGTTTACTTTTTTTTTTAGGGTTTGTGACATCATCACTTTAGCATCGTATTACTATTATCATTATTCACATAGACCTAAATAACTGTCTACGGGTCAAACAGTATTCAGTCCTCACACACCCTAACACACACATGTGCTACACACAAGCATACATGCATGTCATATACACCTCTTGTACAGTTTATTGTGTAACACTGAGTGCATTCGGAAAGTATTCACACCCCTTCCCTTTTTCCACATTTTGTTACGTTACAGCCTTATTCTAAAATGTATTAAATAAAAAACTGTACTCATCAATCTACACACAATACCCCATAACGAATTTTTGCACATTTATTAAAAATTAAAAACAGAAATAGCTTATTTACATAAGTGTTCAGACTCTTTGCTATGAGACTCAAAATTGAGCTCAGGTGCATCCTGTTTCCATTGATCCTCCTTGAGATGTTTCTCCACCTGTAAATTCAATTGATTGGACATGATTTGGAAAGGCACACACCAGTCCATATAAGGTCCCACAGTTGACAGTGCATGTCAGAGCAAAAACCAAGCCATTAAGTCAAAGGAATTGTTCCTCTGTGGAGATGGGAGAACCTTCCAGAAGGACAACCATCTCTGCAGCACTCCACCAATCAGGCCTTTATGGTAGAGTGGCCAGACGGAAGCCACTCCTCAGTAAAAGGCACATGACAGCTTGCTTGTAGTTTGCCAAAAGGCATCTAAAGGACTCAGACCATGAGAAACAAGATTCTCTGGTCTGATGAAACCAAGATTGAACTCTTTGGCCTGAATGCCAAGCGTCACGTCTGGAGGAAACCTGGCACCATCCCAATGGTGAAGCATGGTGGTGGCAGCATCATGCTGTGGGGATGTTTTTCAGCGACAGGGACTGGGAGACTAGTCAGGATCGAGGGAAAGATGAATGGAGCAAAGTACAGAGAGATCCTTGATGAAAACCTGCTCCAGAGCGCTCAGGACCTCAGATTGGGGCGACGGTTTACCTTCCAACAGCACAACGACCCTAAGCACACAGCCAAGACAACGTAGGAGTGGCTTCGGGACAAGTCTCTGAATGTCCTTGAGTGGCCCAGCCAGAGCCTGGACTTGAACCTGATCGAACATCTCTGGAGAGACCTGAAAATAGCTGTGCAGCAACGCTCCCCATCCAACCTGACAGAGCTTGAGAGGATCTACAGAGTAGAAGGGGAGAAACTCCCCAAATACAGGTGTGCCAAGCTTGTAGCTTAATACCCAAGAAGACTCTAGGCTGTAATCACTGCCAAAGGTACTTCAACAAAGTACTGAGTAAAGGGTCTGAATACTTATGTAAATGTGATATTTCCGTGTTTTTTTATTTTTCTATTTGCTTACATTTCTAAAAACCATTTTTGCTTTGTGATTATGGGGTATTGTGTGTAGATAGATGAGGGATAAAAAATCAATTTGAGAATAAGGCTGTAACTTAACAAAATGTGGAAAAAGTAAAGGGGTCTGAATACTTTCCGAATGCACTGTAAATAGCTCTGGTGCTCTGACTCACACAGCATTCCAACCAGAGTGGCTGTGAGTGTGACCGGGGGCCAAAACCGTGACTGAAAACAATTTGGGCCTCAGACAACCTCTGTAACAACCTCTGGTATGTTCTGGTGTTCTGGTGTTGTTTAGAAACACACAGTAGTAATAACGTTTAACATTTGTAATAGCTGAAATACTAATTTAATAATAGTACATACACTACTTATGAATATTTATGACTGGTTATTAATTAAAGCTATCAAAACAACGCTGATGAGGACAATGTAGCTTGTTTGAATATACAGTGAGCTACAAAAGTATTGGTACAGTGACATTTGTTTTGTTTTTTGGGCTCTTTACTCCAGCACTTCGGATTTGAGGGCAGACTGTCAGCTTTAATTTCAGGGTATTTTCATCCATAACGGGTGAACCGTTTAGAAATTACAGCACCTTTTGTACATAGTCCCCTCATTTTGAGGGGACCAAACGTTTTGTGTGCAAAGCTGTCATCAAGGCAAAGGGTGGCTATTTGAAGAATCTCAAATATAAAATCTATTTTGATTTGTTTAACACTTTTTTGGTTACTACATGATTCCATATGTGTTATTTCATAGTTTTGATGTCTTGACTATTATTCTACAATGTAAAAAAAATAAAAAATAAAAAATGAAAAACCCTTGAATGAGTAGGTGTGTCCAAACTTTTGACTGGTAGTGTATATATACACCAATAAACATACATTTAATAGCAGGACACTGTAAAGTCCATTATCCCTCTGAAGAGTATGAATTAGGCTGTTTGAGAACGTTTGAATCCTAAACAACCTTCCTACACAAGGAAGTACAGTACCAACATACTGTAGATGTGTGCTGGAAAACCTTTGTAGAGCATGGGTGGAATAGGCATTGTGATGCTCATGTGAATTTCCTTTCTTTTTTGGCTTCAGACCAATGCCTACTTATCACTTAAAACATATTTTTTAGTTGTTAATTTCCATGGTTTTTACACCGGAAGGTGATTATGCAACATTATTATACAACATTATAATACAGAATAACAGAGCAATAAAAGTAAGTAAAAGTACCCAATAATGACAAATGGCAACAGAAATAATGTAGTTGTTAGTATTTATTTAATATTAACAGCTGATTATCCAGAAGTGAAAGACCAGAAACCCGTTTAAGCCAATATGGGTAAACTGGAAACATTTCCCCCGATTTCTCTTAACAAGACAATCGAGCAAGCTCCTGGAAAATACACAAATAATCAACGTGTAGCCTACCCATTAATTATTTACATGAAAATGTACCTTAAAGTTTACTGAAGAAAGGCCTAGTACTACATTACCTGTAAACAAAAGTGAGTTATCACTAAATGTAAAATGTACAAGCAGATATAGTCAACTTTGTAAATACAATTCAGGGATGGCCACAATTGCTCTTGACAAGCTACAGGTTTATGCAGGCTTTTTTGCTCAAGCCCAGTTCTAACACAATTGATTCTACTATTCATGTTCTCGATAAACTGCTGAGTAGTAGAATCATGTGTGGTAGCACTGGATTTTCTTGTATGGTGATGATTAATCCTTTTATAAATCGTTGTTGGAGATTAGCCTATCTCAGAGATAAAAAGGTAGAGAGTGAAAGTCTGACAGGAGATCTTCTCAGAGCAGAGATACCGCCTTACGCTCAAGCACATACAAATACTAAAAGGTAGAACAGATTGGACTTGGTGCTTCAATGGGAATGTTGGCATTGAAAAACGAGAAACTTGTTTATTGTCCTTGCAAAAGTCTAAATTGTACATTTAAAGCTTCCCTGAAACGGGAGCAAGAAAGGAATCTGCATATTACATTTTTCAATTGGAATGCAGTTCTATTTATTCCACATCTATACTACTACTAGGACACCCATGCATTCCCCACGAGACATGCCACCAGAGGTCTCTTCACAGTCCCCAAGTCCAAAACAGACTACAGGAAACACACAGTACTACATAGAGCCATGACCAGTGGCGGCTCCTGAAAAAATTCTCAGGAGGGGCAATTTTTCTGATGATTTAGGTGACCTACACACATTTAAAAAAAGATATGTCCAGCAACAACATGAAGACAGGGGCAGCATATAAGTCAATACCAGAAGCATTTATTGACTGATCTCAAAAGTGTTGGCTTACCAGGGTTGGTGGAGCCCTCAGTTTCATCTTTGCCTCGCAAAGCTAACTCAAACACTCCGCAAAACTTCACACACTGGATTAGCCGGCTGAGGATGTGGCGGTTCTTGCTAATGTCGTAGTAAATATATTTGTTATAGTGAATATGGAATATGATATGTTGAGTAAAATGTTGTGCTAAGATCTATTTAGGTCAGGAGCTGGTTATAAGTTCTGTTCCTATCCAATAACAATGGACAAAAGGGTCCTATCTTGTCAGCCTTGTCAGCAGGTGGCCAAGGACAACACCCACGCCATAGGCCTCTCAGTTCTTCCAACTCACGAGTTCTTGCTCTGAGGACACACACACACACAAACACACACACACACACATCATCACTGTTAAACACACACACACACACACACACACACAAAAATCCCCTCTCTTAGGCTGAACATTTGAAGACAGAGAACCCGACTCAGAGCCAATGCAACAGTGACAGTAGCCTGGAGGGGACCTCGCCCAACTCATCAGGACCAATCAGAAGATCAGAACTACTAGATTGAACCTACTTCATTTATTGCATAAAATGTCTGCACACAATGTTTCGGGGCTCTCTTCAGATAATAATAATAATAATAATAATAATATGCCATTTAGCAGACGCTTTTATCCAAAGCGACTTACAGTCATGCGTGCATACATTTTTGTGTATGGGTGGTCCCGGGAATCGAACCCACTACCTTGGCGTTACAAGCACCATGCTCTACCAGCTGAGCTACAGAAAGTGGATACTCATGGATGCGCATTGCAATTGTAAAATGTCAACACAATTGGAGACACCACGTCATTTTTGGAGACATGTTATTGACAGTAAACTATTGTAGATGCGACTGCTAACTAAATAAAACATTTTAGCTGGCTAGCTAATCATCTTAGCTAAATGTGGGGCAAACAATTCAGTTATTTACCGTTAATTTGAGGGATTGGGGTGAAAGAAATCGAGTTACATAGTGATACTTTACGATATACTGTATTGACAATATCGCAATATTTTAGCGCTAGTTGGCTGTACCTGCACCAAAACACCATTATTGTTCCTTCATAGCTTGTTCTCAATCTTTTCACATTGGGAGCCAATTTGTTTTCAGCACTTTTATTTCCATGACTGATCAAAACTCGTTCTCATGGCTTTCTGATCCCTCTGCAACAGACATATGGTGCGCAATAAAATCACAGTATCGAATCGCAATACGTATAGAATCATGAGACTCGCAATGCTGATGCATATATCTTATCGTGAGGTTCCTGGCAATTCCCAGCCCAAGTTCATTTGCCACAACAAATCTCTTCGCTAGCAAACGCGATGTCTTCTCCAAAACGGCAATGTGTCTCCAGCAATGTTTACTTTTTTGACGTTCTATGGCATCTCCACTTTCCAAGCATATATGACCACATGTAATATTTTGGTAAGTGATGCAAATAGTGAACTATGTAGGGCCAGGATGTAAAATATATGTAGCTGCAGCAATTTCTCTTATCTGATATGGTAAGTAATGGGGCTTGATTTATAGCTCCCTAAGAGTTTGACGAACGGGTCCGTGAACGCGATTGCAGATATCTTTACCTCTGAATAAACTGCCTTATATTATACAATTATCCACCTTGTCCAAAAGTCTCTACTTTTTCTCCGTTCTCCAGTAAACTTGTTTTATCAACAATAGTAAGGTTCAATGACACAGAAAGCAGTTCAATGTCGGGGTACAGAGTCGCTCTCTTACCAGGATCGCGGTCCGCTCTGACCAGGGTGAAGGTGACCGGCTCCACCTCTCTGTCCGGGACTCTGTCATCCAGTCAAGTCTCCCAGCTGTATTGGGATTACAGCTGCCTGCAGCGTTTTCATTATTTAGTCCGTTCGTAGCGGGTATGTACACGATCAACAAGATCAGTCCAAAACCGAAGATCAGTCCAAAGCAGAATGTTTGCAGAATGTTTGTAAACTAAGTCTACAAATTAAAAACATAAAATAACGCCACACTGCAGGTCGCAACATAGACGCTGATAGCCGCCATTGTCTTAGTTACGTTCAACGTTACGTCACGTATGACGAAAGCGCGTAAGTGCATGCACACAGACACCCATAGAGAATGTATTGAAAGCTTTGAAATGTGAAAAAAATAGATTTTACATGACAGGCTATGAGAGACTTCTGGGCGATTTTCAACCTGACTGAAATCGCCCAAAAACGGGCGGGGCCATTTGAAGCACGACTTTAGCCTGATTTGACATTTAGTGGCTGGCAGATCAGACGTGAACACTGATAACTGCTGTTGCCGTGATATAATTTTTTATAAATTTATAAAAAAATATATATAATTTATTTTATTTTTTTATTTTTTTATAATTGATTAGAAAAAAAATCCCTTCCTTTTCCCGTTTGGCAGTGCGTCGCCCATATCGCCCTATTGAACAAGCCGTCCCTGGCCATGACTACATGGAACTCTATTCCACATCATGTAACTCAGTCAAGCAGTAAAATCAGATTTAAAAAAACAGATAAAACTACATTTTATGGAACAGCGCGGACTGTGAAGAGACACACACACAGCATTCGCAAACACATGCTAACACACGCACACTACACACACACATTTTAATATTGTTATTTTGCTGTATTATTGATTTTGTATTGTAAATATGTTATGGTAGAGTATTGTGTAATAAAGTGTTGTGTTATGTATTGTTTTATTGTATGTAAATTGTGGTTGGACCCCAGGAAGAGTAGCTGCTGCCTTGGCAGCCGCTAATGGGGATCCGTAATAAATACAAATAAAAATACTACATTTCGCACCCTTCTTTTTCGCTGGCTTCCAGGCATGTACTCATTCACCAACATGGACGTCGGCATGAAGACTGTGTGGCTTGTTGGGCATTCGTGGATCCACTGGTTGGACAGGCGTGCCAGGGCGGTCGGGAAGCATCACAGTCTCTGCCTTATTGATTGTCACATTAGGTGGCACGAACTGCTCATTGTTCTGCGCCAGCATAGCCTGTGCTACTTCTCCCCTTGACATCGTAGTCATCCACCTAAAATCATCCGAATGTTTCCCAGTACAACGGTGGTCCTCTCAAATATTGCGCAGAGGATGAGCTGGATGTTCCAGTGGGACCAGAAGTTAAACAAGTGCATAGAAAAGGCCCGGCGTTCCGTCAATCAGCTGGTGTACGCATTTCTCCGTGACAGGGACATGCACACAATTCGTAGGGATAAAGTGCATCTGACGGATGAGGGAAACGATGTATTCCTTGAGAGATGGTCTCTCCACCGTTCTCTCCCCTGTAGTAGTAGCAAGACCCGCGCAGTAGTACACACACCACACTCCCTGTCCATTGCCACTCAACGATGCTCAACGAACCCAAAGGCTTTCAAACCTATACACTAAAGAGAATGGTCAAAATGTATCCTCCGAGAGGCGAACCCAGAACCTTCAGTTCCCAAGGCGGAGACGCTAACTGTTACACTATGAACCTTGTTATGAACATGGCAACTTGACACTATTTAAATGGACAGTCTGGTGATGACAGGAACCTTTCGTTGCACAATGTTTTTGTTGTTCATTCACTCAGTACTGATTGAACATTTATTTATCTTGCTTGGTTAAAAATAAATGATCTAAACCAGTTGATGTGTTGAAAACAGTCTCATTTATACAGTTAGCTCTAACCAAGTTAGCAAACGTAGCATTTTCTTTTGACTGTGCACAAGTTCTGTTGCACTAGCAAGCAATGATGTTGTTTTAAACTGAGTGCACCATGTGGACTCGCATGGCTATTTTGTGGCTACTTATGTGGATGGCAAATTCGGACTTTGGGGAACACACTGAAAAGTAACTTGACACTGTATTGATCAGTCAACGCACATTTTGATTATAATGACAAGAAGAAAATTGCATTGAGAGAGGAGGGAGCTTACTGAATTAATGCATAAGGTAAGGTCTGTAACGTAAGCTAACGTTAAATTGCTTTGCTTTGAATGGACCAAAAGCAAAGTCTCTGTCTGGTGTGCTAGTTCTTAACCAGGCAATTTTATCGGCTACAGTTTGTGTTGTGAGAGGCATGGCTGATCTTGGTCGAGGCTAGCTCGCTAGCAGTTGTTATGTTATATACTGAAATCTGGTTGCACACATAACGTTAGCAAGCAAGCCAATTTGACTGTATGGAGTAGCTAAAGCTAGATGAGCCATGCCCATTGCATGATGTATTATAAATTAGCAGCGTGGCAGTTTCCCAAAGTTTGGTGTTGACTATGAGCTTTACTTAGCTAGCTAGTTAGCTATGCTTTGTGGAAGAATGTGGGATATAAGTAATTGTCAACATTGAGTTGTTACTGGCTAGCTAGTTGGCTAGCTAACTGGCTATAGCAGGCAATGACGTTTGCTATCTTATTTGTTTGTTTACACAGATGACTTCAGCCTTACATAAAACATGTTCCTTGGCAAAATGTAGCTAGCTAGCGTTCCTCGCTTGCAGGTTAGCTAGCTAGCCAACGTTAGAGCTAATCTGACTGGTATTCTATCTGTGGTATAATGTTACATTAGCTAGTTAGCTAACGTTACAGCTGCTGGCTACCTACCTAGCTAGCTAACGGAAACAAAACCACATTCAGCTCACTAATAACAACCAACCCATTGTTCATGTCGGACAATTATCTGTGTGCATTTATTGATTAACCTCAGCTTGAGTACCAACATATAGCTATCTATAGTAGCCTAGGTTTGTCCTCAACCATTTATTATTATGACTGGCTGGTCAGGCGGCGAGCTGTTTGTGTTGTTAAATTGCTGAGCGACCGAGTTGCTGGCCCAATTTGATAGAACTCTGAGATTCGGCTGAAAAAATATGTTAGCATTATCAGAAATGCACATCGTTGTTTCTTCATGGATGGAAATGTGCACGTGAGAGCGATAAATTATACATTTATATTAAAACTGTTGCACCTACAAATTTATTCAATCCAAAATGTTTTAAATCCAATGGTGACTTTATGGACGCTATAGTCTCGTTTTAATCTGACGTCTAGAATTTGAGCTAGGTTGCCGCAGAAAATACTCTGAAAACTCAATTGCTAATGACCATGTTACAAATCCGGTATGTGGTTCACGGTGGGGAGTGTGTTGTGTACCTCCAATCAAGTTATTTTGCACATTTTCATCGACATTGGTGTCATATTGGTTTAAATATGATGGTAGGGAGATTTGAATTTAACATTTAACTTCAATCAATTTCTATATATTGTGGGGGGTATCCACAATAATACAGTTGAAGGAGCGTATGTTAAACTCCCAACCCATTCATACTTTAAAAAGACAACTGTCAACTGACAGTGGACGAATAGGGAGATGTGGAGGCGCCCTGCACTCTCCTTCTCTCTGTCGCTCCCTTTCTCTTCTTCTGTACTGACAAAAAAATATTTTCACATATACTCTCTGCTTTTATTGACACACACACACACACACACACACACACACACACACACACACACACACACCCTCACACACACACACACCCACCTGCATGTCAGAGATGGCCACAGTGTTCTTGAAGACGATCCACTCCACGGTGTCAGTGCAGGGTGGGGTGGTGAGGGAGCCGTTGTAGGTGAAGTACTTCTCTGTGGAGTTGGGCAGGAGGCCCCGGAGAGAGAAGGGACCCACCATCCCACTCTTACCTGGAGAAGAGGAGGTGAGAGGAGAAAAGAGGGGGACATGTGTAAGATGAAAATGAACGGACAGCAAAATAAATTAGTGAGAGAGAAAGAGAGGATAGACAACATAAACATAAAATGTTGCATTATCACGACACGGTGTGGTAGTGGGTATATGACCGTGGGGTAGAGTGGCCCTTGACTTTAAATCTGTACAAAGAAGTTTGTACAACTATCTCTCATAAGAGAGCTTGACATTACCCACAACAATGAGCTGATGCACTGAAGTCCTCTGTAACACCTACTTGTATGGCAAACTTCAACTGCCATTAGCATTAATTAACTATACTTAAGCAATAAGGCAAGAGGGGGTGTGGTATATGGCCAATATACCACGGCTAAGGGCTGTTCTTAAGCACAACGCAACGTGGTGTGCATGGATACAGCCCTTTACTGTGTTATATTGGCCATATACCACAAACCCTGAGGTGCCTTATTGCTAATATAAACTGGTTACAAAGTTAATTAGAACAGTAAAAATAAATGTTTTGTCATACCTTTCAGCCAATCAGCATTCAGGGCTCGAACCACCCAGTTTATAATAGTATTTGAATCACTAGTCAGCAGTTCAGCCCAGGCTATTCAGACTTTTTTATTTTATGTATGCATTTATAATGAAACGCAAACTAGGGGTTTATAGTTACGCTTAGATCAGGTGGCTTTGTGTTTGGTTAACTTAGTGTGGCTCCCCCGATGGTGTGGCCGGGGAATGCCACGGTTTGGGGCGTCAGCCACACACCACAACCAGCAGATTAGGCTGCAGCAAGCTAGGCTGCAGTTGGACGCCCTGCACCTGAAGCCACTCTGCGTCGTTAAGGTGTCTGCATACATAGGTTCGGTTTGCTCTTGGCAGAACTCGGCTAGGCGAAGTGAACGGCTGTGCTCACATAGTCCCTAAAGACCTTCGCTTGAAAAACAAGAAAAAGCTGCAATATTAATGTTGTTTGTCCCTCTTGAGATGCCATATCAACAACATATCCAGTAACACTTCCTCAAAATAGTTTGAATCAATCTAAGATAAATGAAGAAATCTGTCATTAATTTGGACATTTTTTGCCAAGGAGGTCTTAGTCACGCAATTTGACATCTAACTAAGATGTTTGGTGCAATACTTCTCAAGTGAAAACATTTGCATGGAAAGTAGTTGTCTTGTTGAATGACAACAAACTCTTCATTGAAGAATCCCTACTGTTGACCAGTCACCGACGAATGGGGGGAAAATTTGGCTACGAACTTCGGTTTGCCTCAAGAAACAATTTTGTGTGCTAAAACAGACGGAAAAAAACCTGCCAACCACCAAAACTAACAAAAATGTCACAAAATGTAGTCATAATATACAGTGGTGGAAAAAGTACCCAATTGTCATACTTGAGTAAAAGTATAGATACCTTAATAGAAAGTTACTCAAGTAAAAGTGAAAGTCACCCAGTAAAATACTAAACTCAGCAAAAAAAGAAACGTCCTCTCACTGTCAACTGCGTTTATTTTCAGCAAACTTAACGTGTAAATATTTGTATGAACATAACAAGATTCAACAACTGAGACATAAACTGAACAAGTTCCACAGACATGTGACTAACATAAATTGAATAATGTGTCCCTGAACAAAGGGGGGGTCAAAATCAAAAGTAACAGTCAGTATCTGGTGTGGCCACCAGCTGCATTAAGTACTGCAGTGCACCTCCTCCTCATGGACTGCACCAGATTTGCCAGTTCTTGCTGTGAGATGTTACACCACTCTTCCACCAAGGCACCTGCAAGTTCCTGGACATTTCTGGGGAGAATGGCCCTAGCTCTCACCCTCCGATCCAACAGGTCCCAGACGTGCTCAATGGGATTGAGATCTGAGCTCTTCGTTGGCCATGGCAGAACATTGACATTCCTGTCTTGCAGGAAATCACGCACAGAACGAGCAGTATGGCTGGTGGCATTGTCATGCTGGAGGGTCATGTCAGGATGAGCCTGCAGGAAGGGTACCACATGAGGGAGGAGGATGTCTTCCCTGTAACGCACAGCGTTGAGACTGCCTGCAATGACAACAAGCTCAGTCCGATGATGCTGTGACACACCGCCCCAGACCATGACGGACCCTCCACCTCCAAATCGATCCCGCTCCAGAGTACAGGCCTCGGTGTAACGCTCATTCCTTCGACGATAAACGCGAATCCGACCATCACCCCTGGTGAGACAAAACCGCGACTCGTCAGTGAGGAGCACTTTTTGCCAGTCCTGTCTGGTCCAGCGACAGTGGGTTTGTGCCCATAGGCATTATTGTTGCCGGTGATGTCTGGTGAGGACCTGCCTTACAACAGGCCTACAAGCCCTCAGTCCAGCCCCTCTCAGCCGATTGCAGACAGTCTGAGCACTGATGGAGGGATTGTGAATCCAGGCTCTGTCGTAGCCAGCCGCGACTGGGAGACCCATGGGGCGGCGCACAATTGGCCCAGCGTCGTCCAGGGTAGGGTAGGGGAGAGAATGGCTGGCAGGGATGTAGCTCAGTTGGTAGAGCATGGCGTTTGCAACGCCAGGGTTGTGGGTTCGATTCCCACGGGTGGTATGAAAAATAATGTATGCACTCACTAACTGTAAGTCGCTCTGGATAAGAGCGTCTGCTAAATGACAAAAAAAATAGAACAAAAAAATATAAGATAAATTGTGCATTCCTGGTGTAACTCGGGCAGTTGTTGTTGCCATCCTCTACCTGACCCGCAGGTGTGATGTTCGGATGTACCGATCCTGTGCAGGTGTTGTTACACGTGGTCTGCCACTGTGAGGATGATCAGCTGTCCATCCTGTCTCCCTGTAGCGCTGTCTCAGGCGTCTCACAGTACGGACATTGCAATTTATTGCCCTGGCCACATCTGCAGTCCTCATGCCTCCTTGCAGCATGCCTAAGGCATGTTCACACAGATGAGCAGGGAGCCTGGGCATCTTTCTTTTGGTGTTTTTCAGAGTCAGTAGAAAGGCCTCTTTAGTGTCCTAAGTTTTCATAACTGTGACCTTAATTGCCTACCGTCCAGTGGCGGCTCCTGAAAAAATTCTCAGGAGGGGCAATTTTTCTGATGATTTAGGTGACCTACACACATTTTAAAAAAGATATGTCCAGCAACAACATGAAGACAGGGGCAGCATATAAGTCAATACCAGAAGCATTTATTGACTGATCTGGGGAGATGGATTCCAGTTTCTGTGACAGATTATAAATAATCTCTGATGCCTTTGTTATATTAGCTTTTGGTTGAATGTACTGTCGTAGTAAATATATAATGTTATAGCTTGGTCTGACTAAAATCTTGTGCATGACCCATTTTGTGTTGGGCGTTTGTTTTCAATCAATGCTGTTCCTATCCTATAACAATGGACAAAAGAGTCCTATCTTGTCAGCCTTGTCAGCAGGTGGCCAAGGAGTGGTGATCCTAGCTGACCTAAGACAGGACACTTTTACTTTACTCGCGTGCACGAACGAGTCCGTGCACGCGATTCCAGATATCTTTACCTCTGAATAAACTGCCTTTATTATACCATATCCACCCTGTCCAAAGTCTCTACTTGGTCTCAGTTCTCCAGTAAACTTGTGATTATCAACAGTACACAACGGTAACAAACAATTGGGGGAACGCACGGGGCAGATAGTAAGGTCGCAATGACACAGAAAGCAGTTCAATGTCGGGGTACAGAGTCGCTCTCTTACCAGGATCGCGGTCCGCTCTGACCAGGGTGAAGCCGGCCGGCTCCACTTCTCTGTCCGGGACTCTGTCATCCAGCCAAGTCTCCCAGCTGTATTGGGATTCCGCTGCCAGCAGCGTTTTCATTATTTAGTCCGTTCGTAGCGGGTATGTACACGATCAACAAGATCAGTCCAAAACCAACCACTGGAAATCCATGGTTGGCAGAATGTTTGTAAACTAAGTCTACAAATTAAAAACATAAAATAACGCCACACTGCAGGTCACAACAGAGACGCTGCTAGCCGCTATTGTCTTAGTTACGTTCATGGTTACGTCACGTATGACGAAAGCGCGTAAGTGCAAGCCCACAGACACCCATAGAGAATGTATTGAAAGCTTTGAAATTTGAAAAAAATAGATTTTACATGACAGGCTATGAGAGACTTCTGGGCGATTTTCAACTTGACTGAAATCGCCCCAAAAACGGGCGGGGCCATTTGAAGCACGACTTTAGCCTGATTTGACATTTAGTGGCTGGCAGATCAGACGTGAACACTGATAACTACTGTTGCCGTGATATAATTGATTAGAAAAAAAATCCCTTCCTTTTCCCGTTTGGCAGTGCGTCGCCCATATCGCCCTATTGAACAGGCCGTCCCTGCTACCGTCTGTAAGCTGTTAGTGTCTTAACGACCGTTCCACAGGTGCATGTTCATTAATTGTTTATGGTTCATTGAACAAGCATGGGAAACAGTGTTTAAACCCTTTACAATGAAGATCTGTGAAGTTATTTGGATTTTTACGAATTACCTGAAAAAGGGACGTTTCTTTTTTTACTGAGTTTACTTGAGTAAAAGTCTAAAAGTATTTGGTTCTAATTATACTTAAGTATCAAAAGTAAAAGTAAAAGTATAAATAATTTCAAATTCCTTATATTAAGCAAAGCAGACGGCACCATTTTCTTGTTTTTAAAATGTACGTATAGCCAGGGCCACACTCAGACATCATTTATAAAAGATACATTTGTGTTTAGTGTGTCCGCCAGATCAGAGGCTGTAGGGATGACCATGTGTTTTCTTGATAAGTGTGTGAATTGGACCCTTTTCCTATCCTGCTAAGTATTCAAAACGTAACGAGTACTTTTGGGTGTCAGGTAAAATGTACGGAGTACATTATTTTCTTTAGGAATGTAGTGAAATAAAAGTAAAAGTTGTCAAAAATATAAATAGTAAAGTACAGATACCCAAAAAACGACTTAAGTAAAAATACTTTAAAGTACTACTTAAGTACTTTACACCACTGATAATATATGCGTGAACTGTTTAGACTGAAGTATACTCTAAGCTTTAGGCTGCAGCACAGCTGAGACATTTAAGGTGCTGGTTCAGTTCAGCAGGGGAGGAGCTCCTGGCTGGATGCTGGAGGCTGAGCTCTACAGACATTTGGAGGAAGCCCATGGACATTGACTTTCCACAGGAAGAAAAAACTGGAAAGAACAATTGGCTGGTAAACTGGATAGTAGCCCAGCTATTTAGTCTCTTAAGTTAAGTTCCAGTCTTAGTTAAGTTTATCCCCTGTGTGTGGTTGTGGTTTTGAGTAACAGTTTTTTATCATCCTTTTTGAGAACCCATTTATTTGAATAAATATGCCAATGTTCCTGTCAATGGTCCTCATCATTGACATCCTACCAGCCACACCTAGCGAGTCGTTACATTAGATACACTATTTGAAGGTGAGCATTGGATGAGTTTAGGGTTACTGTAGGTCAGGTTGGCATACCGAATCGGCTGACACTGTTGACTCCGTCGATAATGGCCATGTAGTTGTCATTGTCTTCGATGCTTGTCTGTAAAGGGGGTATGGCAACAGATTAGTCAGGCATCTCAAAAGGCTTCCTCTCCTCGTCTCCTCTCCTTCATCTTTTTGTGTCCCTACATTTTTGGGCTGCTTTAAAGCTGAAGCTAAATATGATACTAAACTGAAGCTCACACTGATGCAAGCTAATAGCTAGAGACTTTAGAATCCACAGCTGAACCCAAACTCCATATAGCATGTCTAATCTCTTCTCAGTCTGATACTGTGGTGGGTAATCAGTTCCACTATCCTGTCCCCTTTGATTTCAGGGTGGGTAGCAGAGTGTAGCCTAACATGTGTGGGGTAATCTAGGGGCCTCGTGCGGAATAATCTTTTTGAATTCTGCCCAGCTCACGAGGCCCCTTGATGATGATGTGAGCTATTGACTCTTCTGCCTAATGGTAAGTCCACCAGTGCAAGTAGATATAATGTCATCCTTCATCGACTATGACAAACCTTGCTGGCATGGATGCAAAATGATCCACTATACACTCTTGACACAGGTCACGCACATGCACGAACACCCACAAACATACGAAAACACCCACAAACATCCGCACAAACACATCCGCAAATACACTCTTCCTGTCAGTGTCGACAACTAACATACCTGTCAGGAACACCCGCATCCCCCAATCTACCTACAGTGCCTACCTACCTGAACCCCCCCAGGAACACCCGCTCCACCCAATCTACTTACAATACCTACCTACCTGAACCTCCTCAGGAACACCCGCTCCACCCAATCTACTTACAGTACCTACCTACCTACCTGATCCCCCTCAGGAACACCCGCTCCACCCAATCTACTTACAATACCTACCTACCTGAACCTCCTCAGGAACACCCGCTCCACCCAATCTACTTACAGTACCTACCTACCTACCTACCTGATCCCCCTCAGGAACACCTGCTCCACCCAATCTACCTACAGTACCTACCTACCTACCTGATCCCCCTCAGGAACACCCGCTCCACCCAATCTACTTACAGTACCTACCTACCTACCTACCTACCTACCTACCTACCTGATCCACCTCAGGAACACCTGTTCCACCCAATCTACCTACAGTACCTACCTACCTGAACCTCCTCAGGAACACCCACTCCACCCAATCTACTTACAGTACCTACCTACCTACAGTGGGGAAAAAAAGTATTTAGTCAGCCACCAATTGTGCAAGTTCTCCCACTTAAAAAGATGAGAGAGGCCTGTAATTTTCATCATAGGTACACGTCAACTATGACAGACAAATTGAGGAAAAAAAATCCAGAAAATCACATTGTAGGATTTTTAATGAATTTATTTGCAAATTATGGTGGAAAATAAGTATTTGGTCACCTATAAACAAGCAAGATTTCTGGCTCTCACAGACCTGTAACTTCTTCTTTAAGAGGCTCCTCTGTCCTCCACTCATTACCTGTATTAATGGCACCTGTTAGAACTTGTTATCAGTATAAAAGACACCTGTCCACAACCTCAAACAGTCACACTCCAAACTCCACTATGGCCAAGACCAAAGAGCTGTCAAAGGACACCAGAAACAAAATTGTAGACCTGCACCAGGCTGGGAAGACTGAATCTGCAATAGGTAAGCAGCTTGGTTTGAAGAAATCAACTGTGGGAGCAATTATTAGGAAATGGAAGACATACAAGACCACTGATAATCTCCCTCGATCTGGGGCTCCACGCAAGATCTCACCCCGTGGGGTCAAAATGATCACAAGAACGGTGAGCAAAAATCCCAGAACCACACGGGGCGACCTAGTGAATGACCTGCAGAGAGCTGGGACCAAAGTAACAAAGCCTACCATCAGTAACCCACTACGCCGCCAGGGACTCAAATCCTGCAGTGCCAGACGTGTCCCCCTGCTTAAGCCAGTACATGTACAGGCCCGTCTGAAGTTTGCTAGAGTGCATTTGGATGATCCAGAAGAGGATTGGGAGAATGTCATATGGTCAGATGAAACCAAAATAGAACTTTTTGGTAAAAACTCAACTCGTTGTGTTTGGAGGACAAAGAATGCTGAGTTGCATCCAAAGAACACCATACCTACTGTGAAGCATGGGGGTGGAAACATCATGCTTTGGGGCTGTTTTTCTGCAAAGGGACCAGGACGACTGATCCGTGTAAAGGAAAGAATGAATGGGGCCATGTATCGTGAGATTTTGAGTGAAAACCTCCTTCCATCAGCAAGGGCATTGAAGATGAAACGTGGCTGGGTCTTTCAGCATGACAATGATCCCAAACACACCGCCCGGGCAACGAAGGAGTGGCTTCGTCAGAAGCATTTCAAGGTCCTGGAGTGGCCTAGCCAGTCTCCAGATCTCAACCCCATAGAAAATCTTTGGAGGGAGTTGAAAGTCCGTGTTGCCCAGCGACAGCCCCAAAACATCACTGCTCTAGAGGAGATCTGCATGGAGGAATGGGCCAAAATACCAGCAACAGTGTGTGAAAACCTTGTGAAGACTTACAGAAAATGTTTGACCTGTGTCATTGCCAACAAAGGGTATATAACAAAGAATTGAGAAACTTTTGTTATTGACCAAATACTTATTTTCCACCATAATTTGCAAATAAATTCATAAAAAATCCTACAATGTGATTTTCTGGTATTTCTTTTCTCGTTTTGTCTGTCATAGTTGACATGTACCTATGATGAAAATTACAGGCCTCACTCATCTTTTTAAGTGGGAGAACTTGCACAATTGGTGGCTGACTAAATACATTTTTTCCCCACTGTACCTACCTACCTGATCCCCCTCAGGAACACCTGCTCCACCCAATCTACCTACAGTACCTACCTACCTGAACCTCCTCAGGAACACCCGGTCCACCCAATCTACTTACAGTACCTACCTACCTGAACCTCCTCAGGAACACCCGCTCCACCCAATCTACTTACAGTACCTACCTACCTACCTGATCCCCCTCAGGAACACCCGCTCCACCCAATCTACCTACAGTACCTACCTACCTGAACCGGAGCTACACTTTACACACTATATGCTCCAGACGTTTATTACATGGCCATAGCAAGTCACAACATACGAACACACACACCTCTAACAGTACAGAGAGAGCGGTGATCCTGCCCCCGTCCTTGATGGCCTGGTCTATGGACTCAAAGTGAAGCGCTTCATAACAGTAGATCTGCATCTGGAAAAGACAGAGAGAGACAAGGTACAGGAGATGGTTGACACCCTATGTACTGTCATTGAACAGTACATTGATTTCAATATTGACTGACATTCATCAAGCTGCCCACTCAAGAAAAATCTCCAAACTGTAACCAGTGCCTGCAACCTGGTTCAGGTTATCAGTCAACCAAACAGGGTAGTTACAAACAGCACAGGAATGAAATCATCAACGTATTGATCACATCTTTACTAATACTGCAGAAATTTGCTTTAAAGCAGTATCCAAATCCATCGGATGTAGTGATCACAATATAGTAGCCATATCTAGGAAAACCGAAGTTCCAAAGGATGGGCCTAATATAGTGTATAAGAGGTCATACAATACATTTTGTAGTGATTCTTATGTTGATGATGTAAATCATATTTGCTGGTCTGTGGTGTGTAATGAGGAGCAACCAGACGCTGCACTTGACACATTTACGAAATTGCTTATTCCAGTTACTGCACCCATTTAAGAAAATGACTGTAAAAACTGTTAAATCCCCTTGGATTGATGAGGAATTTAAAAATGATATGGTTGAGAGGGATGAGGCAAAAGGTATGGCAAATAAGTCTGGCAGCACAACCGATTAGCAAACGTACTGCAAATTGAGAAATCATGTGACTAAACTGAATAAAAAGAAGAAACTATACTATAAAACAAAGATAAATTATATAAAGAATGACAGTAAAAAGCTTTCGAGCACCTTAAATGACATTTTGAGCAAAAAGGCAAACTCAGCTCCATCATTCATTGAATCAGATGGCTCATTCATCACAAAACCCACTGATATTGCCACCTACTTTAATTATTTTTTAATTGGCAAGATTAGCAAACTTAGGCATGACATGCCAGCAACAAACGCTGACACTACACATCCAAGTATATCTGACCAAATTATGAAAAGACAAGCATTGTAATTTTTTATTACGTAAAGTAAGTGTGTAGGAGGTTAAAAAAAAGTATTGTTGTCTATCAACAATGACAAGCCACCGGGGTCTGACAACTTGGATGGAAAATTACTGAGGATAATAGCGGACGATATTGCCACTCATATTTGCCATATCTTCAATTTAAGCCTACTAGAAAGTATGTGCCCCAAGGCTTGGAGGGAAGCAAAAGTTATTGCCCTACTTATGAATAGTAACTGGCTCAAATAGTTGACCAATCAGCCTGTTACCAACCCGTCGTAAACTTTTGAAAGAAATTGTGTTTGACCAGATACAATGCTACTTTACAGTAAACAAATTGACAACAGACTTGTTGTTGCACGCTTATAGGGAAGGACATTCAACAAGCACAGCACTTACACAAATGACTGATGATTGGCTGAGAGAAATTGATGATAAAAAGATAGTAGGGGCTTTTTTTGTTAGACTTCAGTGCGGCTTTTGACATTATCGATCATAGTCTGCTGCTAGAAAAATGTGTTATAACTTTGCACCCCCTGCTATATTGTGGATAAAGAGTTACCTGTCTAACAGAACACAGAAGGTGTTCTTTAATGGAAGCCTCTCCAACATAATCCAGGTAGAATCAGGAATTCCCCAGGGCAGTTGCCTAGGCCCCTTAGTTTATTCTATATTTACTAACGACATGCAACTGGCTTTGAGTGTCTATATATGCTGATGACTCAACACTATACACGTCAGTTACTACAGCGACTGAAATGACTGCAACACTAAAAGCATTGTATTTGGGACAAATCATTCACTAAACCCTAAACCTCAACTAAATCTTGTAATGAATAATGTGGAAATTGAGCAAGTTGAGGTGACTAAACTGATTGGAGTAACCCTGGATCGTAAACTGTCATGGTCAAAACATATTGATACAACAATAGCTAAGATGGGGAGAAGTCTGTCCATAATAAAGCGCTGTTCTGCCTTCTTAACAGCACTATCAACAAGGCCGGTCCTAGTTTTGTCGCACCTGGACTACTGTTCAGTCGTGTGGTCAGGTGCCACAAAGAGGGACTTAGGAAAATTGTAATTGGCTCAGAACAGGGCAGCACGGCTAACAGAGAGCTAACAATAATATGCATATCAATCTCTCCTGGCTCAAAGTGGCGGAGAGATTGACTTCATCACTACTTGTATTTGTGCGAGGTATTGACATGCTGAATGCACCGAGCTGTCTGTTTGAACTACTGGCACACAGCTCGGACACCCATGCATACCCCACAAGACATGCCTCAAGAGGTCTCTTCACAGTCCCCAAGTCCAGAACAAACTATGGGAGGCGCACAGTACTACATAGATCCATTACTACATGGAACTCTATTCTACATCAAGTAACTGATGCAAGCAGTATAATCAGATTTAAAAAACAGATAGAAATATGCCTTATGGAACAGCGGGGACTGTGAAGAGACACAAACACAGACACAGGCAAAAACTACACGGGAGGATCTTGTCAATGATCTCAAGTCAGCTGGGACCATAGTCACCAAGAAAACTATTGGTAACACACTACACCGTGAAGGACTGAAATCCTGCAGCGCCCGCAAAGTCCCCCTGCTCAAGAAAGCACATATACAGGCCCATCTGAAGTTTGCCAGTGAACATCTGAATGATTCAGAGGAGAACTGGGTGAAAGTGTTGTGGTCATATGAGACCAAAATCGAGCTCTTTGGCATCAACTCAACTCGCCGTGTTTGGAGGAGGAGGAATGCTGCCTATGACCCCAAGAACACCATCCCCACCGTCAAACATGGAGGTGGAAACATTATGCTTTGGGGGTGTTTTTCTGCTAAGGGGACAGGACAACTTCACCGCATCAAAGGGACGATGGACGGGGCCATGTACCGTCAAATCTTGGGTGAGAACCTCCTTCCCTCAGCCAGGGCATTGAAAATGGGTCGTGGATGGGTATTCCAGCATGACAATGACCCAAAACACACGGCCAAGGCAACAAAGGAGTAGCTCAAGAAGAGGCACATTAAGGTCCTGGAGTGGCCTAGCCAGTCTCCAGACCTTAATCACATAGAAAATCTGTGGAGGGAGCTGAAGGTTCGAGTTGCCAAACATCAGCCTCGAAACCTTAATGACTTGGAGAAGATCTGCAAAGAGGAGTGGGACAAAATCCCTCCTGAGATGTGTGCAAACCTGGTGGTCAACTACAAGAAACATCTGACCTCTGTGATTGCCAACAAGGGTTTTGCCACCAAGTACTAAGTCATGTTTTGCAGAGGGGTCAAATACTTATTTCCCTCATTAAAATGCAAATCAATTTATAACATTTTTGACATGCGTTTTTCTGGATTTTTTTGTTGTTATTCTGTCTCTCACTGTTCAAATAAACCTACCATTAAAAGTATAGACTGATCATGTCTTTGTCAGTGGGCAAACGTACAAAATCAGCAGGGGATCAAATACTTTTTTCCCTCACTGTATTACAATATATTTTGATACATTGCTAAATAAATGAAAAGTTCTACAAATTTGATTACTTTTTAATTTGTTATTTAATGAACCCTTCTTTTAAGGGTTCAATAAATTTAACTGTCAGCTTTATCCTAGTTTGGTTGAAAACAATCAGAATTGAGAAAGCCCATTAAAACCACTTACAATTAATGTATTGCCTCCCTACTGTCATGTACTACACATATTTACATATTTTGTTATTCATAATCATAAAACACAGTCAAATTCCACATTACAGTCAGAAATGAGAAAAAATGTTGTGATATGATATTTTGGCCATATCGCCCTGCCCTGCTTGAGAGGTTACACTCTGTCATATGGAGGTTGTAACGACGTTATACTCTGTCATAGGGAGGTTATAATGGGTGAGTGTCAGGTCTTACCTCCAGGGGATACTTGACCCCGCTGAGGCTGTGCTCGGAGCCCTCTGAGGAAGCATTGCAGCGCCCCCAGTGGAAGGTGATTCTCCCCACCTTAAACCTGCCCCTCAGCCCCCCTCCACTCACATAGAAGTCCCCCTCTGGGTTCACTGCCACTGGAGAGAACACACACAGAGCATTATTTGACCATATTAACCATTATACACATACACAGTATATTGATGTGGCCATGAAGCCTGCCAACGGAAAACACAAAAACTTTCGCTCACACGTGTAAATGCACATACGCACGCACACACGCACTTTCACAAACACACATATTTACGTTCACAGCATGTAGGCTATTATATTTCATGCCAATTTAATACCAAGAAAGGGAAAAACACCTTCAATCATCTCCACACCAGAACCAAGAAATGTACTCTTAGTTTATAAAGTGCCATATGTATACACTATAACAACAATGCCCAATATTTCAGTAGCTAATTATATACAGTTGAAGTCGGAAGTTTACATACACTTAGGTTGGAGTCATTAAAACTCGTTTTTCAACCACTCCACAAATTTCTTGTTAACAAACTATAGTTTTGGCAAGTCGGTTAGGACATCTACTTTGTGCATGACACAAGTAATTTTTCCAACAATTGTTTACAGACAGATTATTTCACTTATAATTCACTGTATCACAATTCCAGTGGGTCAGAAGTTTACATACACTAAGTTGACTGTGCCTTTAAACAGCTTGGAAAATTCCAGAAAATTATGTCATGGTTTTAGAAGCTTCTGATAGGCTAATTGACATAATTTAAGTCAATTGGAGGTGTACCTGTGGATGTATTTCAAGGCCTGCCTTCAAACTCAGTGCCTCTTTGCTTGACATCATGGGAAAATCAAAAGAACTCAGCCAAGACCTCAGAAAAAAAAATGGTAGACCTCCACAAGTCTGGTTTATCCTTGGGAGCAATTTCCAAACGCCTGAAGGTACCACGTTCATCTGTACAAACAATAGTACGCAAGTATAAACACCATGGGACCACGCAGCCGTCATACCACTCAGGAAGGAGACGCGTTCTGTCTCCTAGAGATGAACGTACTTTGGTGCGAAAAGTGCAAATCAATCCCAGAACAACAGCAAAGGACCTTGTGAAGATGCTGGAGGAAACAGGTACAAAGTATCTATATCCATAGTAAAACGAGTCCTATATCGACATAGCCTAAAAGGCCGTTCAGCAAGGAAGAAGCCACTGCTCAAAAACCGCCATAAAAAAGACAGACTACGGTTTGCAACTGCACATGGGGACAAAGATCTTACTTTTTGGAGAAATGTCCTCTGGTCTGATGCAACAAAAATATAACTGTTTGGCCATAATGACCATCGTTATGTTTGGTGGAAAAAGGGGGTGGCTTGCAAACTGAAGAACACCATCCCAACCGTGAAGCACGGGGGTGGCAGCATCATGCTGTGGGGGAGGGACTGGTGCACTTCACAAAATAGATATCATCATGAGGAAGGAAATTTATGTGGATATATTGAAGCAACATCTCAAGACATCAGTCAGGAAGTTAAAGCTTGGTCGCAAATGGGTCTTCCAAATGGACAATGACCCCAAGCATACTTCCAAAGTTGTGGCAAAATGGCTTAAGGACAACAACGTTAAGGAATTGGAGTGGCCATCACAAAGCCCTGACCTCTATCCTATAGAAAATGTGTGGGCAGAACTGAAAAAGCGTGTGCGAGTAAGGAGGCCTACAAACCTGACTCAGTTACACCAGCTCTGTCAGGAGGAATGGGCCAAAATTCACCCAACTTATTGTGGGAAGCTTGTGTAAGGCTACCCGAAACGTTTGACCCAAGTTAAACAATTTAAAGGCAATGCTACCAAATACTAATTGAGTGTATGTAAACTTCTGACCCACTGGGAATGTGATGAAAGAAAGAAAAGCTGAAATAAATCATTCTCTCTACTATTATTCAGACATTTCACATTCTTAAAATAAAGTGGTGATCCTAACTGACCTAAGACAGGGAATTTATACCAGGATTAAATGTCAGGAATTGTGAAAAACTGAGTTTAAATGTATTTGGCTAAGGTGTATGGGGCGGCAGGTAGCTTAGTGGTTAAGAGCGTTGTGCCAGTAACCGAAAGGTCGCTGGTTCTAATCCCCGAGCCGACTAGGTGAAAAATCTGTCGATGTGCCCTTGAGCAAGGCACTTAACCCTAATTGCTCATGTAAGTCGCTCTGGATAAGAGCGTCTGCTAAATGATTAAAATGTAAATGTAAATGTATGTAAACTTCCGACTTCAACTGTATTATCATTACCACATCATCAAATTTGCATTCCTCCACTTCACTCTTGTACTACGATACCTTAGTATTAAGACCCAGACCAACAGGCTCAGAGACAGGCAGTGCGGCTACTGAATAGCTAGCTGACTGAATGGCTGATTATTTTACTGTATTACTTTAGCTTTACAGTTTCATTACTGGTTGTTGTAATGCTGGTTTTATTGTGAGACTTCTGGTGACCTGAGAGCTCATACCGGTCTTGCCGTCGTTCTTGATGGTGGTCCTATCAGACGTCACCTCCTCCCAGCCCTCGAACTTCAGCTTTTGGAACTGAACTTTGACCTGCGTCAGCTCCTCCTCGATGTTGATGGGTGACTGTCTGGTATTGCTGCATGATGGATACTTGTTGGCCCAGTTGTTTTGGTTTAGAGTCCCTGCCAAGAGAGAGTTGAAATGTGTTTAATGCATAGTAGAGTTATAAATAGCCAACATATTGGTGGTGCCTCAGCTATATGAACTTGCCCAAAACGAGTACATATGTCGTTATCCATTACAAAACACGACTCAGTTGTTTTCCCTTTTTCTGAAGTGTACTCTGGTTTCTTCCTCTCTAATTAGGCACTAACTGGTTGCAGGTGTGCTCCTGTGGGGAGCTAATGAGCTAATCACATTCAGGTGCGTCTCCTTTGATGGGATTTCACTGGAGTGATACAGAGGGTAGTGCATACTGCCCATAGACTGTTCTCTGCTACCGCAGTCTGGAACCAACAGTACCCTGAACAGCTTCTACACCCAAGCCATAAGACTGCTCAATTGTTAGTTAAATAGTTAACCAATAGCTACCCGGACTATCTGCATTTACCCTTTGTGCACAAACCTTTTGACTAATCACATACACTGCTGCTACTGTTTATTATATTTGTTGCTTAGTCACTTTATTCCTAGTTATATGTACATATCTACCTCAATTACCTCGTATCCCTGCACATCGACTCGGTACTGGTACCCCATGTATACAGCCAAGCTATCGTTGCTTTTATTATAATGTGTTAATACTTTTCTATTATTTCTCTATTTTCTTTCTCTCTGCATTGTTGGGAAGGGCCCGTACGTAAGTATTTCACTGTTAGTCTACACCTGTTGTTTACAAAACAAGTGACAAATAAAATTTGATTTGAAGTTTTTTTATTTAGAACTGTGGAGTTTCTCAAGCCATTCCTGGGGGACCCACAGGGTGTGCACATTTTTGTTTTATCCCAGCACCGATACCTGATTCAAGTTATCATGGATTGGATGATTTGTTGTGTAGTTGAATTGAGTCCAATCCAATTCTTTCAGATCTACATGAAGAGCTTAGGGGAAAGGGCTAGGGTTGATTTGGGGTTGTGCATAGAGCTGACGTGCCTATTCCACACGATAGAACAATGTCATGCAATGCCAATGTTTCAGAAGGTTCATAACTTTTGTGAAACATCACAGTACAGTTGAAAAATATATGGCAAACAGAAATCCAATAATGATGGTGTTAAGAGATAGACGGGAGGGGTTGAATGGAGCTGAAGGTTTGGACTAATAACAACAAGATAACTAATGTAAAACATACTGTGTCCATAATACGTATATAGGTTATAGGTTAAGAACTTTTGTGAGAGAGCACAGTTTGAAAGATATGGCATATAGAAGCAAACCGGATGGACATCATGAAAATGATCAGAGAGGTTGAGGGTAGAGGAATTTCAAGAGTAAAAACAAACAAAATAGAACTATTGTAAAATTAACTGTCCATAAAATGTATGGAGTATGTATAAGCTGGAAGTAGAGGCCTAAGCGTTGTTGTTCACTAGTTTACTCCAATTAGGGGATGGGTGGTAGGGTCAGAAAGTAATAAAGGAAAATATATTTAAAAAAAGGATATGTACACTACCGGTCAAAAGTTTTAGAACCCCTACTCATTCAAGGGATTTCTTTATTTGTACTATTTTCTACATTGTAGAATAATAGTAAAGACATCCAAACTATGAAATAACACATATGGAATCATGTAGTAACTAAAAAAGTGTTAAACAAATCAAAATATATTTTATATTTGAGATTCTTCAAATAGCCACCCTTTGCCTTGATGACAGCTTTGTACACTCTTGGCATTCTCTCAACCAGCTTCACCTGGAAGGAATGCTTTTCCAACAGTCTTGAAGGAGTTCCCACATATGCTGAGCACTTGTTGGCTGCTTTTCCTTCACTCTGCCGTCCGACTCATCCCAAACCATCTCAATTTGGTTGAGGTCAGGGGATTGTGGAGGCCAGGTCATCTGATGCAGAACTCCATCACTCTCCTTCTTGGTCAAATAGCCCTTACACAGCCTGGAGGTGTGTTGGGTCATTGTCCTGTTGTAAAACAAATGATGGTCCCACTAAGACCTCAGAAAAAAAATTGTAGACCTCCACAAGTCTGGTTCATCCTTGGGAGCAATTTCCAAACGCCTGAAGGTACAACGTTCATCTGTACAAACAATAGTTTACAAGTATAAACACCATGGGACCACGCAGCCATCATACCGCTCAGGAAGGAGACACGTTCTGTCTCCTAGAGATGAACGTACTTTGTTGCGAAAAGTGCAAATCAATCCCAGAACAACAGCAAGGGACCTTGTGAAGATGCTGGAGGAAACAGGTACAAAAGTATCTATATGCGAGTCCTATATCGACATAGCCTTAAAGGCCGCTCAGCAAGGAAGAAGCCACTGCTCCAAAACCACCATAAAAAAGTCAGATTATGGTTTGCAACTGCACATAGGGACAAAGATCGTCCTTTTTGGAGAAATGTCCTCTGGTCTGATGAAACAAAAATAGAACCGTTTGGCCATAATGACCATCGTTATGTTTGGAGGAAAAAGGGGGCAGCTTGCAAGCCGAAGAACACCATCCCAACCGTGAAGCACGGGGATGGCAGCAACATGCTGTGGGTGTGCTTTGCTGCAGGAGGGACTGGTGCACTTCACAAAATAGATGGCATCATGAGGAAGGAAAATTATGTGGATATATTGAAGCAACATCTCAAGACTTCAGTCAGGAAGTTAAAGCTTGGTCGCAAATGGGTCTTCCAAATGGACAATGACCCCAAGCATACTTCCAAAGTTGTGGCAAAATTGCTTAAGGACAACAAAGTCAAGGTATTGGAGTGGCCATCACAAAGCCCTGACCTCAATCCTATACAAAATTTGTGGGCAGAACTGAAAAAGCATGTTGACTCACTGGGAATGTGATGAAATAAATAAAAGCTTAAATAAATCATTCTCTCTACTATTATTTTTACATTTCACATTCTTAAAATAAAGTGGTGATCCTAACTGACCTAAGACAGGGAATTTATACTAGGATTAAATGTCAGGAATTGTGAAAAACTTAGTTTAAATGTATTTGGCTAAGGTGTATGTAAACTTCCGACTTCAACTGTGTATATATATATATATATACCTCAGAAAAAAGGTATAGATAGATATATATATATACATACAGCTCTGGAAAAAATTAAGAGACAACTGCAAATGTTTCTTAAATCAGCTACTCTACATATATGACAGCCATTCCATTCCAGTGTCTGTTGAATTCCAACACAGGCACACCTCATTCTACTGAATTAGGTACAGATTAGGTGATCACCTGAACCAAATCTTATTTAACGAGGAAAAGTATAAAAACCACTGCTGTGGTCATCACTATCCTCTTGCAATAGGACCAGCTGGATGGCAAAAACAGTGCTAATAGTACCTCAAAAGTAATATTAATAAAAAAATTACTATTGACCATGCCAAAATAGTTGAAAAGGAAAGTTTTGAGTGAGGAAAAGAAGGGTTCAATTCTGGCTTTACTGGCAGAGGGATACAGTGAGCGTCAGGTTGCTTCCATCCTTAAAATGTCAAAGACGAAGGTTCATAAGAACAAGGTCAAGCAGCAGACATTGGGGACAACAAAGCTACAGACCGGCAGAGGGCGAAAACGACTCTCTATTGACCGGGATGACCGCCAACTCATTCGAATGTCACTCAACAACCGTAGGATGACATCAAGTGACCTACAAAAATAATGGCAAACGGCAGCTGGGGTGAAGTGCATGGCGAGGACGGTTCAAAACAGGCTCCTAGGGGCAGGGCTGAAGTCGTGCAAAGCTAGAAAAAAGCCTTTCATCAATGAGAAGCAAAGAAGAGCCAGGCTGAGGTTTGCAAAAGACCATAAGGATTGGACCGTAGAGGACTGGAGTAATGTCATCTTCTCTGATGAGTCCAATTTTCAGCTTTGCCCAACACCTGGTCATCTAATGGTTAGACGGAGACCTGGAGAGGCCTACAAGCCACAGTGTCTCGCACCCACTGTTAAGTTGGTGGAGGATCGGTGATGATCTGGGGGTGCTTCAGCAAGGCTGGAATCAGGCAGATTTGTCTTTGTGAAGGACGCATGAATCAAGCCACGTACAAGGTTGTCCTGGAAGAAAACGTGCTTCCTTTTGCTCTGACATTGTTTCCCAACTCCGAGGATTGTTTTTTCCAGCAGGACATTGCACCATGTCACACAGCCAGGTCAATCAAGGTGTGGATGGAGGACCACCAGATCAAGACCCTGTCATGGCCAGCCCAATCTCCAGACCTGAACCCCATTGAAAACTTCTGGAATGTGATCAAGAGGAAGATGGATGGTCACAAGCCATCAAACAAAGCCGAGCTGCTTGAATTTTTGCGCCAGGAGTGGCATAAAGTCACCCAAAATCATTGTGAAAGACTGGTGGAGAGCATGCCAAGACGCATGAAAGCTGTGATTGAAAATCAGGGTTATTCCACCAAATATTGATTTCTTCCTAAGTTAAAACATTAGTATTGTGTTGTTTAAAAATTAACATTAACTTATTTTCTTTGCATTATTCGATGGTCTGACAACACTGCATATCTTTTGTTATTTTGACCAGTTGTCATTTTCTGCAAATAAATGCTCTAAATGAAAATAATTTTTTTGGGAATTTGGGAGAAATGTTGTCAGTAGTTTATAGAATAAAACAAAAATGTTATTTTTACCCAAACACATACCTATAAATAGTAAAACCAGAGAAACTGATAATTTTGCAGTGGTCTCTTAAGTTTTTCCAGTGCTGTATATATATTTGCAAAAAAATATATATGGGGGATTGGAAGTGATGCAGACAATTACATTGATGGAAGTTACATTTACATTTACGTCATTTAGCAGACGCTCTTATCCAGAGCGACTTACAAATTGGTGCATTCACCTTATAGCCTGTGGGATAACCACTTTACAATATGTTTTTTTTTTTTTTTGGGGGGGGGGTGGGGTAAGGGGGGGTAGAAGGATTACTTTATCCTATCCCAGGTATTCCTTAAAGAGGTGGGGTTTCAAGTGTCTCTAGAAGGTGGTGAGTGACTCCGCTGTCCTGGCGTCGTGAGGGAGCTTGTTCCACCATTGGGGTGCCAGAGCAGCTAAAAGTTTTGACTGGGCTGAGCAGGAACTGTGCTTCCGCAGAGGTAGGGGGGCCAGCAGGCCAGAGGTGGATGAACGCAATGCCCTCGTTTGGGTGTAGGGACTGATGAGAGCCTGAAGGTACGGAGGTGCCGTTCCCCTCACAGCTCTGTAGGCAAGCACCATGGTCTTGTAGCAGATGTGAGTTTCAACTGGAAGCCAGTGGAGTGTGCGGAGGAGCGGGGTGACGTGAGAGAACTTGGGAAGGTTGAACACCAGACGGGCTGCGGCATTCTGGATGAGTTGTAGGGGTTTAATGGCACAGGCAGGGAGCCCAGTCAACAGCGAGTTGCAGTAATCCAGACGGGAGATGACAAGTGCCTGGATTAGGACCTGTGCCGCTTCCTGTGTAAGGCAGGGTCGTACTCTCCGAATGTTGTAGAGCATGAACCTACAGGATCGGGTCACCGCCTTGATGTTAGCGGAGAACGACAGGGTGTTGTCCAGGGTCACACCAAGGCTCTTTGCACTCTGGGAGGAGAACACAACAGAGTTGTCAACCGTGATGGCGAGATCATGGAACGAGCAACAATCTATCATGGAACGGGCAACAATCTATCTGCAATATTAAAGCTGATCTACCCCCTAAAAATAAATTAAAAAATAAATGCCAATGTTGTTTCATGTTAGGACTGATATGTTGGTAAATACTTTAATTAGCTTTCGTTCAACATCTGCTCTTGGTCATTCTTTGCTTTGAACGTTCCAACTGGAATCAATTAAGGGGCTGGGAGTATCGTTTTCAGTGTATTGGTTGCATGGCAGGCCTAAAGTGCCTTTCTGAGTTGCTTCATTGCTTCTCCTGCAACTCATCCTGTCAAACCTGGTTGCCAGTCTGTTTCTCCTTTAGCCAACACCTAGCCTATGTCTGGCATGGCATGGACAACAACACAATACATCAGTGTTGTTTATTTCACTTGCCTTGAAGTTTCCACCAGATATATTTGGGATGCATTGCTTAGGCTACATCCTGTGAGTATGAAAACACACATACTGCACACACACCTTCTGAAGGGATCAGACACACACAGTGCACAGACGGACACACACACACACACACACACACACACACCTTATGAAGGGATCAGACACACACAGTGCACAGACGGGGACACACACACACCTTTTTTATTATTTATATATTTTTCTTTCTGCGTTGTTGGGAAGGGCCCGCAAGTAAACATTTCACTGTTAGTCTACACGTGTTGTAAACGAAGCATGTGACAAATACAATTGTATTTGATTTACTAGCAGCATTTTATTTCCTTTTCTAACTACATGTAAGTCCTGGGGGTCCACATACTGCAGACAACCATCTGAGCCAGAGGACAATGAGGCTGAATGAGGTCATACTGGGTTCTGGGTCAGACCATTAGCATGTCAATGGCTGCACACACACAGCAGCAGCAGAGGGGATATGATGCAACAGTCTATTCTCCATCATCTGTCTGGTGTATGCAATTATAAATTACTGCTGGTGTGTGTGTGTGTGTGTGTGTGTGTGTGTGTGTGTGTGTGTGTGTGTGTGTGTGAGAGAGAGCCTTTTTGATAAAGTATCAAATGAGGCCACACCAATACAAGTAGCTATTGCACAGTTTAACAGCTTGTGTTACAATATTCCACACACAGAGATGCGTACAAAGCTCTCCCTTAAAGAGGTGGGGTTTCAATTGTCTCTGGAAGGTGGTGAGTGACTCCGCTGTCCTGGCGTCGTGAGGGAGCTTGTTCCACCATTGGGGTGCCAGAGCAGCTAAAAGTTTTGACTGGGCTGAGCGGGAACTGTGCTTCCGCAGAGGTAGGGGGGCCAGCAGGCCAGAGGTGGATGAACGCAATGCCCTCGTTTGGGTGTAGGGACTGATGAGAGCCTGAAGGTACGGAGGTGCCGTTCCCCTCACAGCTCTGTAGGCAAGCACCATGGTCTTGTAGCAGATGTGAGTTTCAACTGGAAGCCAGTGGAGTGTGCGGAGGAGCGGGGTGACGTGAGAGAACTTGGGAAGGTTGAACACCAGACGGGCTACGGCATTCTGGATGAGTTGTAGGGGTTTAATGGCACAGGCAGGGAGCCCAGTCAACAGCGAGTTGCAGTAATCCAGACGGGAGATGACAAGTGCCTGGATTAGGACCTGTGCCGCTTCCTGTGTAAGGCAGGGTCGTACTCTCCGAATGTTGTAGAGCATGAACCTACAGGATCGGGTCACCGCCTTGATGTTAGCGGAGAACGACAGGGTGTTGTCCAGGGTCACACCAAGGCTCTTTGCACTCTGGGAGGAGGACACAACGGAGTTGTCAACCGTGATGGCGAGATCATGGAACGAGCAACAATCTATCATGGAACGGGCAACAATCTATCTGCAATATTAAAGCTGATCTACCCCCTAAAAATAAATTTAAAAATAAATGCCAATGTTGTTTCATGTTAGGACTGATATGTTGGTAAATACTTTAATTAGCTTTCGTTCAACATCTGCTCTTGGTCATTCTTTGCTTTGAACGTTCCAACTGGAATCAATTAAGGGGCTGGGAGTATCGTTTTCAGTGTATTGGTTGCATGGCAGGCCTAAAGTGCCTTTCTGAGTTGCTTCATTGCTTCTCCTGCAACTCATCCTGTCAAACCTGGTTGCCAGTCTGTTTCTCCTTTAGCCAACACCTAGCCTATGTCTGGCATGGCATGGACAACAACACAATACATCAGTGTTGTTTATTTCACTTGCCTTGAAGTTTCCACCAGATATATTTGGGATGCATTGCTTAGGCTACATCCTGTGATTATGAAAACACACATACTGCACACACACCTTCTGAAGGGATCAGACACACACAGTGCACAGACGGACACACACACACACACACACACCTTATGAAGGGATCAAACACACACAGTGCACAGACGGGGACACACACACACCTTTTTTATTATTTCTATATTTTTCTTTCTGCGTTGTTGGGAAGGGCCCGCAAGTAAACATTTCACTGTTAGTCTACACGTGTTGTAAACGAAGCATGTGACAAATACAATTGTATTTGATTTACTAGCAGCATTTTATTTCCTTTTCTAACTACATGTAAGTCCTGGGGGTCCACATACTGCAGACAACCATCTGAGCCAGAGGACAATGAGGCTGAATGAGGTCATACTGGGTTCTGGGTCAGACCATTAGCATGTCAATGGCTGCACACACACAGCAGCAGCAGAGGGGATATGATGCAACAGTCTATTCTCCATCATCTGTCTGGTGTATGCAATTATAAATTACTGCTGGTGTGTGTGTGTGTGTGTGTGTGTGTGTGTGTGTGTGTGTGTGTGTGTGAGAGAGAGCCTTTTTGATAAAGTATCAAATGAGGCCACACCAATACAAGTAGCTATTGCACAGTTTAAGAGCTTGTGTTACAATATTCCACACACAGAGATGCGTACAAAGCTCTCCCTCACCCTCCATTTGGCAAATCTGGCCATAATTCTATCCTCCTGATTCCTGCTTACAAGCAAAAACTAAAGCAGGAAGCACCAGTGACTCGGTCAATAAAAAAGTGGTCAGATGAAGCAGATGCTAAGCTACAGGACTGTTTTGCTAGCACAGACTGGAATATGTTCCGGGATTCTTCCAATAGCATTGACGAGTATACCACATCAGTCACTGGCTTCATCAATAAGTGCATCGATGACGTCATCCCCACAGTGACTGTACGTACATACCCCAACCAGAAGCCATGGATTACAGGCAACATCCGCACTGAGCTAAAAGGTAGAGCTGCCGCTCTCAAGGAGCGGGACTCTAACCCGGAAGCTTATAAGAAATCCCGCTACGACCTCCGACAAGCTATCAAACACGCAAAGCGTCAATACAGGACTAAGGTCGAATCCTACTACCCTGGCTCTGATGCAAACTATCACAGATTACAAAGGGAAACCCAGCCACAAGCTGTCCAGTGACGCGAACCTACCAGACGCGCTAAATGCCTTCTATGCTCGCTTCGAGGCAAGCATCACTGAGCCATGCATGAGAGCACCAGCTGTTCCAGACGACTGTGTGATCACGCTCTCCGTAGCCGATGTGAGTAAGACCAAACAGGTTTACATTCAGGCGGATTACCAGGAAGCGTACTCAGAGCATGCGCTGACCAGCTGGCAGGTGTCTTCACTGACATTTTCAACCTCTCCCTGACACAGTCTGTAATACCTACATGTTTCAAGCAGACCACCACAGTCCCTGTACCCAAGAACGCCAAGTTTACCTGTCTAAATGACTATCGCCGCGTAGCACTCACATCTGTAGCCATGAAATGCTTTGAAAGGCTGGTCATGGCTCACATCAACACCATCATCCCAGACACTCTGGACCCACCCCAATTTGCATACCGCCCCAACAGATCCACAGATGACGCAATCTCGATTGCACTCCACACTGCCCTCTCCCACCTGGACAAGAGGAACACCTATGTGAGAATGCTGTTCATTGACTACAGCTCAGCGTTCAACGCCATAGTGCCCTCCAAGCTCATCACTAAGCTAAGGACCATGGGACTAAATACCTCCCTCTGCAACTGGATCCTGGACTTCCTGACGGGCCACCTCCAGGTGGTGAGGGTAGGCAACAACACATCCTCAACACCGGGGCCCTCAGGGGTGTGTACTTAGTCTCCTTCTGTACTCCCTGTTCATCCACGACTGTGTGGCCATGCACGACTCCAACACCATCATTAAGTTTGCTGATGACACGACGGTGGTAGGCCTGATCACCGATGACGCCTATATGGAGGAGGTCAGAGACCTGGCAGTGTGGTGCCAGGACAACAACATCTCCCTCAACACCAGCAAGACAAAGGAGCTGATAATGGACAACAGGAAACGGAGGGCTGAGCACGTCCCCATGCATTTGAAATGGATGGTTTGAAGACTCCCCTTGGAGCAGAGAATGGACTTTACAGGAGAGTATGTAATTTTTTCTTCATTTCAATTCATTTATCACTTTTGTCTATTTTAAATCACCTTGGTTTATTTTCTCATCATAATTTGTATTTTTCACATTTGAGGAACAAAACCCTTATATTTATTACACCCTACTGAGTTGTCTCTCGTTGCCTGTTTGGTCATCCCTGACATATGGTGGCAGCGGTGGGATAATCAGTAGAGTAGCGGTAGCTTAGCTTAGGTTAAAAAAAGTATATAATTTTGTTTTGAAAAACAAGAGAACCAAACATTGGACCAAAACGGGACAAAGACAAACCAGGACCGGGACCACCTCTTCATGTGGAAGGTGAGACTGAAGGCGGGGCTGAAGGAAGAGAGCCCATCCCAGACGATCCAGGGGTGACCTCATTGGAGGAGTTGGCCCTCCTGTTTAGGAGCGGCCTTGAGATGCAGCAGGCGCAAGACATCAGGCTGGAGCGGGAGACCGAACGAAAGGAGCAAAAGTGGAAGGCGATGCAGCACCCTTTCAGAGTTCTGCAGCATGAGACCGAAATTAGGATGACCCCTGTCCCTGTCTTCCGAAGCCAATGGCATGGACACTGGCCTAGGAGCTGCAAGCTCTCTCCCCAGTGACCCTCTAGGTCCTGTAACCTTGACCCTCATCAGAATAACCCTTACCTTTCCCCATCTCCAAGAGCCAAGGTTAGAGCAGTTAAATGACAATGACGACATTTAACATTATCTGGGATCTGTGTTAACGTTAGTTATTCCAGAGTCGGTGTAGCATTCATTGGGCCATTGGACCAGCGCTGGGTTCTCTGTTGATGCTATTTATGCAATAGGTCTATAGATCAAAGTTGATCAAGGACAGTCGGACAGGGGAGTCGGGGAGGGGCAGGGGCATGTTTAGGCTGGCACTGGCAGTCGGGATGTCCTCCTGCCCCCCTGGCCCCATAATGCCCCCATTGTTGTGCCAGTCTCTCATGTGTCACCCAGATTCAGTCTGTTGTGATGCTGACCGAGATGGGAGGGGAGGTATGGGAGAGCTGTGTGGTAAAGAGATCGAAGGGAAGAGGGAGAGAGAGTTGAGAGAGGGGCAAGGCTAGACAGTGACGGGGGGGAGAGAGAGAGAGAGAGAGAGAGATGATTGTGTGCCACTGCCTGAGGGTCATAGTAAATATTCATAGTAAATGTCCATGCCAAATGATGCATCTCTTTTGTAGAATATGCTGTATTACTCACTCTTTGGCAACTTTGTATATAATATTATCATGCCAATAATACAAACTGTATCTACTGTAAGTCAATGTTGAATTGAGTGTGTGTGTGTGGGGGGGGGGGGGGGGGGGGGGGGGGGGGGGGGTCTGTGTGTTTTATAAGGTGTCACATGCGGCCACACCAATACACAGTATCTATTGCACAGTTTAACAGCTTGTGTCACAGTATTGTTGAAAATAAATTGATTGCCATATTCTGACCTGAACTTTAACTTTAGTGTCATCTCCCCATCTGATAACCCAAGCATAGGCCAATATGCCTACTTCTTCATTCACCTACCAGTGGTCATGGAGAAAAGGAGAGAGAGGCCATGGCATGTTCCTATTGGAATGAGGCCCCAAATGGCCCCCCATGATAACCAATCTATTTCCTGGTTTATCTCTCTACACACACAATACCAAACCACTCTGTCAAACATCTTAGGATTCATGAAGATCAAATTAATTTCTAAGGGAAAACGTATTCAAATGCAAATCGCCAAATGAGACCAAGGAGGGAAATTGGAATGGGTTCAGATTATTTTCAAATAGGGCATTAATTCCCAGATCTCTTTAGCGTCCCTGTTTAAAAAGCTATTTATGAAACCAAACTAGTCATTATGACTTGCGTAGAGAGCAACAGTAATGGCGTCTTTTTGTAGGCACTAACGGAGGCCAACTCTGCCATGGCTCGTTGGCCAAAGACTATGGGGAAATTAATGTGTTTTTTTGGGGGGGGGGGGGTGGTTTGAATAAATGCTGAAAATAAGTCTGTGATAAACACAGGCTTTTGTTCTATGAGATAATCGTCATCAGCTAATGTGTCAGGGTGCTGATGTGGATGCGGTGGTGGAGTCAAGCGCAGGACACAGAGGAATAGTCAAGACGACTTTACTAAACACCTCTTAAGGTATACACAAAAATAAACGGCCTCCAAACACCCAAGAGGCGAAACAAATACGCGAGTGCGTAAATAACACGAAAAGCCAAGGTCACAGAACCTATACACACATGACAGGCGGACAATAACACACAAAATACAAACATAACATAGGGGAACTTATAGGTGACATAATAAATACAGAATACGAAACCAGTGCACTAACTAGACATGACAAAACAAACATCGAAAACATCAAACGGTAGCAGCTAGTACTCCGGGGACGACGAACGCCGAAGCCTGCCCGAGCAAGAAGGAGGAGCAGCCTCGGCGGCATCTGTGACAGTACCCCCCCCCTTGACGCGCGGCTCCAGCCGTGTGCCGACCCCGGCCTCGGGGACGGCCAGGAGGACGCGGAGTAGGGCGCGTGGGATGACTCCGGTGGAACTCCGTCAGGAGGGAGGGATCTAAAATGTCCCTCCTAGGCACCCAGCACCGTTCCTCCGGACCGTACCCCTACCACTCCACGAGATACTGCAGACCCCCCATCCGACGTCTCGAATCCACTATGGACCGGACTGAGTACGGTCCCGAATCTCGAGCGGAACGTACGTCCGCCCCACTGGACACTCAGGAGGAGTAGGGTCGGTGCGTAACGCCCGCTCGATTTCCGCATCGACCTCCCACACCACCGGTGCCACCAGACAAGACTCCGGCAGTATGGGAGTGGGCTCAATGGACCTCTCCTCTGTGTCAAATCGCCGAGACAGGGCGTCTGCCTTACCGTTCTGGGACCCTGGGATGTAAGTGAGCTTAAACACAAACTGGGCCAGAAACCTTTAGGGCTTGAACCACGGCTAGCAGCTCCCTGTCCCCCACGTCATAATTACGTTCCGCCGGGCTGAGCTTCTTAGAGTAAAAAGCGCAGGGCCGGAGTTTAGGGGGCGTTCCTGAACGTTGAGACAGTACAGCCCCAATACCGGCGTCTGACGCGTCCACCTCCACCTGGAACGCTAAAGCGGGATCCGGATGCGCCAGCACCGGAGCAGAGGTGAACAGGTCCTTCAGTTTACCAAATGCCCTGTCCGCCTCAGCTGACCACTGCAAACGCACCGGGCCCCCCTTCAGCAGGGAGGTGATGGGAGCTGCTACCTGTCCAAAACCCCAGATAAACCTCTGTCCACAAAGGATTGGAAGACTGAAGGAGCATTCATTAACCCGTATGGCATGACGAGATACTCATAATGACCCGAGGTGGTACTAAATGCTGTCTTCCATTCATCTCCCTCCCTAATGCGCATCAAGTTGTAGGCACTCCTGAGATCCAGTTTTGTGAAGAAACGCGCTCCGTGTAATGATTCCGTCATACTCGCAATCAGAGGGAGTGGATAACTGTATTTCACAGTGATCTGATTGAGACTACGGTAATCAATACACGGGCGCAACCCTCCATCCTTCTTCTTCACAAAAAAGAAACTCGAGGATGCAGGGGAAGTGGAGGGCCGTATGTATCCCTGTCTCAGAGACTCGGCTATGTATGTCTCCATAGCCACCTTCTCCTCTTGAGACAGAGGATACACATGACTCCGCGGAAGTGCAGCGCCTGCCTGGAGGTCTATCGCACAATCCCCCTGTCTATGAGGTGGCAATCGCGTCACCCTAGTCTTGCTGAACACGAGTGCCAAATCCTCATACTCAGGAGGAATGTGCAGTGCGGGCAACTGGTTCAGACTTTCCACCGTGGTCGCCCCTGCGGAAACACCTAGACATCGCCCAACACACTGGTCAGACCACTCCTTGAGAGCCCTCTGTTGCCACGAAATGGTGGGGTCATGGGCGATTAACCAAGGAAGCCCCAGCACCACGGGATACGCAGGAGAGTCGATCAGATATAACTGAATGATCTCCTCATGACCCCCCTGCGCCTTCATCTTTAGTGGTGCTGTGACCTCCCTAATCAAACCAGATCCCAACGGACGGCTATCTAGGGCATGAATAGGGAAAGGCACATCTACTGGTAGGAGGGGAATCCCTAACTTAACACAAAAATGACGATCTATAAAATTCCCAGCTGCGCCTGAATCGACTAGTGCCTTATGCTGGGAATGAGCTGCAACCTGGGGAAATACAACAGGTATACACAGATGAACAACAGAGAGCTCTGGGCGAGTTGGGTGCCTACTCACCTGGAATGACTCCCCAGTGAGTGACCTGTTGCCTCGATCCCCTGGAGGCCCTCCCCAGCACCGAACCGCAGTGTGTCCTCTACGGCCACAGTTGGTGCAGGGGACGACCTCCCTCCGGATCTCTCTCCTCCTCTCTCTAGCGCCAGCACCCCCGAGCTCCATAGGGCTCGGCTCGGAGGTGCTGGGGGATGGAATGGACGACCCCAACTCCGGACGTCCGCGGGTAGCCAGCAGGGTATCCAGACGGATTGACATGTCCACCAACTGGTCGAAGGTTAGATTGGTGTCCCTGCAGGCCAACTCTCGTCGAACGTCCTCTCGCAGGCTGCACCGATAGTGGTCGATGAGGGCCCTCTCATTCCACCCCGCATCCGCCGCTAGAGTCCGGAAGTCCAGGGCGAACTCTTGTGTGCTCCTCTTCCCCTGTCGGAGGTGGAACAGACGCTCCCCCGCCGCTTTACCCTCTGGGGGATGATCGAAAACAGCCCTGAAGCGGCGGGAGAACTCTGCGTAGCTGATGGTGGCGGCTTCTATTCCCCTCCATTCGGCATTGGCCCACTCCAACGCCTTGCCGGAGAGACAGGAGATGAGGGCGGAAACGCTCTCGTATCCCGAGGGCGCCGGGTGTATGGTTGCCAGGTAAAGTTACACCTGAAGGAGGAACCCCTGACACCCGGCTGCGGTGCCATCATATGCCCTCGGGAGCGAGAGCCGAATCCCACTGGACTCCGGAGCTGGTATGATGGGGCTGGCCGATGGTGGTGGTAAGGTAGGAGGAGGTGTGGGCAGGCCTTCTCTTTCCCATCGGCGCAGAGTGTCCATGACGCCTTGCATGGCGAGCCGAGTCGCTGGATCATGGCGTCCTGGCTGCTGACCCGATCCGCCAGTGACTCGGTCACCGCCACTGCTCCTGCTGACTCCATAGGTGGTGTGTTATTCTGTCAGGGTGCTGATGTGGATGCGGTGGTGGAGTCAAGCGCAGGATACAGAGGAATAGTCAAGACGACTTTACTAAACACCTCTTAAGGTACACACAAAAATAAACGGCCTCCAAACACACAAGAGGCGAAACAAATACGCGAGTGCGTAAATAACATGAAAAGCCAAGGTCACAGAACCTATACACACATGACAGGCGGACAATAACACACAAAATACAAACATAACATAGGGGAACTTATAGGTGACATAATCAATACAGAATACGAAACAGGTGCACTAACTAGACATGACAAAACAAACATCGAAAACATCAAACGGTAGCAGCTAGTACTCCGGGGACGACGAACGCCGAAGCCTGCCCGAGCAAGGAGGAGGAGCAGCCTCGGCGGCATCCGTGACATAATGTCACTTTTTTGTGAATTTTTAGGCATTTATGTAATCAAAATAAGCACATAAGGCGCATAAAGGCTTCTTAATTCATAAAGGTAATGTTTACTGACTGATATCTCATAGAACAAAACATATAAGATCTCCTTTTTTCTGGAGGCAAGCCGAAGTTAGGAGCCGAAGTCTACGCCCCTTCGTCAGTGATTGGTCAATAGTAGGGATTCTTCAATAAAGTCTTTATTGTCATTCAATGAGAGACGACTCGTTTTCATGCACATTTTAAAATTGAGAAATATTGCAACAAACATCAAAATGAATGACAGATTTCTTCCATTAATTCTGACTATTTTGAGGAAGTGAATAATGGCTACGGCGTTTAAAAATGTACAAACAGTACTATTGCCTATTTTTTCTCGTTTTTCAAGTGAAGGCCTTTTAAGGGAGTATGCGAGCACCATCATTCGGCTCGGCTAGTTGAGCTCAGCTCTAAGCGCCAGCCGAACTGAAGCATGCTGACGCCTTAAGCCTGTGTTAACCTCAGACCTTATTTTTGGAGTTTATCCCAAAAGCCCTTTCTCTCCCCAAAATGGGGAAAGGTTTCATTTCCGGTGTTCTGGACTACAAGCTAGCGAGCTCTATTGTAGACCCTTTGGAAAAATAATGATTCAGAAGAGTCTATTCTGCAAATGCCCTATTCTTTAGATGTGGGCCGCACAAGTGGTCGCTCGCACACACACACACACACACACACACACACACACACCGACTCTCCATCACACACACAAACCCTTGTGTTTCCTTTTAAAAAACAGCTGACGTAGAGATCAGGAGTGGCCATTCATAATAAAATCCCGGTCTATTCCAGGGTGAACAAGGCATGAGCTCTGCTTTGTTTCTTGTGCAGGCTGCACATACTTCATCAGTCTCTCATTCACAATTTGACAAGCACTTGATAACATTCTCACCAGGCCTCGAATTTCCCGGCGGCATCCGACTTGTGTGGCCGTAATACCCCCCCAAAAAGCAATGCCTTTTGCGGCTAATGTGGTCGTTGTGCCCTTGGGCTGAATATAATAATTATAATTCCCTTCTCCCGGCTGCCAATCGCTGTGCTCCGAAGCGCCTCTCACTCACATGGCTCTCTCAGATACACTACATGGTCAAAGGTATGTGGACACCACTTCAAATTAGTGGATTCGGCTATTTCAGCCACACCCATTGCTGACAGATGTATAAAATTGAGCACACCGCCATGCAATCTCCATAGACAAACATTGGCAGTAGAATGGTCTGTACTGAGAGCTCAGTGACTTTCAACATGGCACCGTCATAGGATGGCACCTTTCCAACAAGTCAGTTCGTAAAGTTTCTGCCCTGCTAGAGCTCCCCGGGTCAACTGTAAGTGCGGTTATTGTGAAGTGGAAACGTCTAGGAGCAACAACGGCTCAGCCGCGAAGTGGTAGACCACACAAGCTCACAGAACGGTGCTGAAGCACGTAGCGCGTAAAAATCGTCTGTCCTCGGTTGCAACAGTCACCACCGAGTTCCAAACTGCCTCTGGTAGCAACGTCAGCACAATAACTGTTCGTCAGGACCTTCATGAAATGGGTTTCCGGCCGAGCAGCCGCACACATGCCTAAGATCAACATGCGCAATGCAAAGCGTCGGCTGGAGTTGTGTAAAGCTCGCCGCCATTGGACTCTGGAGCAGTGTAAATGTGTTCTCTGGAGTGATGAATCACGCTTCACCATCTGGGTTTGGTGGATGCCAGAAGAATGTTACCTGCCCCAATGCATAGTGCCAACTGTTTGACAAGCAGGTGTCCACATACTTTTGGCCATGTAGTGTATCTCAATTCTTATTTGCCAATGCCCGTCATGTGATCGGGTCCTTCTCACAGGCATTTAAGTTCCAAAATAGGCTACAAGTGAAGACAGACATCTGGGACGCAACTGCGCCCTCTTATCGAATTCCGAGAAGCATGTTGAAGATTTTAGAAGAATTGTCCACATTTACTTTATCAGCCAACAAGATGAGTAGGCCTAACGAACAGAAAAAGGACTAGCCTATGTCAATCAACTATCCCCCATAGTACAAAAGTCTACCTATTCTATTGGTTAACTTGTCCTTCTGTGTGAGAAATAAATATTCCAAATGTACTCTGGGACAGTTGTGGGATGCGATAGATCCCAAATTAATACAACCACTTGCATCAAAAAAACGTTTAAAAGCAATGGGGCTGATCCAACAGATCAGAACGTTTAGCTTAACATTTTGATAAACTATTAGGCTATTTCTTCACATTATAAGCGCAGCAATGCGCACACGGCAGTAGGCTATAAGGGAGAATGTTCCAAAATGCAATCAATAAGCGGGAAAACACTGTTCTCAAAAGTGACCACAAATGCAATTATGCATGTAATGCTTTATTATAAAAGGTGTATTTTTATGATGAAAATTGAAACTCACACGCCGCCTATATATGACAGTTAGGCTCTACACAGGTTGTAAAGCTGATTAATGTGCTTCATTTTAAGAAGTTATTTGGCCACTGGCCTATGGGCTAGGCTACACGAGGTGTGCGACTATGATTTGAAAAAGTCGAAAGTCAACTGTGAATAGTTGAGCTCACTCAGTTTAGCTCAATGCTGATTGGCTATTATTATTATTATTTATTTTTTTATCAAGGGAGGCCAAATGCTCACTGGCTTCCCTTGCATTCAATGCTACGGGCGGCAACAATGTCATGCTCTTTTGGACAAGACAGCATCAGATAGATGGCCTACACATACAGAGACAGAGGGGCGCTGTTTCACTCGCTCGGATGCTTTCTCCAGTGCGATACATTCAGTCTCTTGCGAATTGAAGGAAAATGAAGAAACACAGAGAGACGAAATATACATTTGCTCTACATCTTGTATTTATTCTAATGTATCCCATTGAGAGAGACATTGAAAATTAAACCAAACTCTTGTGGTCCACTCCACACTCACCCGCATAGGACCAGTCGATGTCTTCAGAGAATTTGCGCTGGGCGGCCTGGGCCCGGTATCCGTATCCTTGCACCGGTTCAGCTGCAACAGAGAGAAAATATTTCTCAAAAACGGCCTCTATGCCCAAAAATGTCATTTCATTAAATCAGGCATTATTCTTATCATGGCACCAGAATTATCATACGTTCACACAGCCACTCAAGCCTCCTGAGTTGGTCTGGTTTTATTTGAGAATTGAAAGACATCCATATCACTTTAAGGGATCAAACTCATAATACACTCATTCCAAAAAATAATGGGAAAAACAAACAATAATGTGTTATTACACATTACAATATTGCATATAGGCCATTATGGGCAGTGCAACATTGAGAACCACTCATTTAGAGTTATCTATGAGAAAATCTCAGCAAAATAAACTTTGTTTTTTTTTCCTTCTGAAGAAATTTGCTCCAGTTTGGGAATAATGAGTAGGACTCAGATCTACAGCACACAGTCTATTAACATAATGCACTCTGGGGGATGTCTGTGGAATATATCCATGTGTGTTTGTTTACGTGTCTCTAAAAACCACACACATCACCAGTAGACATAATAATCCCTGCTTTTCACTGTCATTTGAACTAGTGCTGCAGAATGATTAGGAGGTGATAGTGTATCATTATAATGCCCTACTAGTCCTGTCTGGGTAATGAATGGGAGCCAAAGCTCTCCGGGCCACACTGCCAGGTCATTATGGAAGAGTTACTGTGTGTCGGAACCAAAATGCCTCATTAGTATAGCTAGCACAAAGCAACTGATCACTAAACAATAGGGAAACCCATTACACCATACGTTCTCCTGCAGCGTTAATAACTCCAAAGGTTTCCAAAACACAGGGAAGTTAGGTAGTGTACCCTTCCGGAGCGACTGAAGTAGCACCAAACGTTTTGGGAACATCACTGTGAATGTTGCTGATCAAAACCAGGACAACTGATTAGGAGAGGGTGGATTACCTGTTTGACCTTTTGCAAACATGTCCAACCTTTAAACAACATTCCTCCATGCTTGAGCATCTACAACAGATTGTCATCTGGGGGATGAAATAAACTTGTTTTCCTCTATGACAAACAAAGTGATACTTTAGGATTTTGGCAATGAGGCCCTGTATCTACCTCCCCAGAGTCAGATGGACTTGTGGATAACATGTTTATGTCTCTGTGTCCAGTATCAAGAAAGTTAGAGGTAGTTTCACGAGCCAATGCTAACTAGCGTTAGCGCAATGACTGGAAATCTATGGGTATCTGCTAACATATGACTCTAGGGAAGTAGATAAAAGGGCCTCATTGTCAAAATACCAAAGTATACCTTTAAAAATGCAATCAGCACTCGAAACGTCAATGTAAAAAAATATTGTACGGTTGGGGTCAGCACAATCGTGTGAAAAGGGTCTTAAACCATGACCAAGTGTCGGCCTGATCTGACTCTGGTTGGATGAAGAACAAGAGGATGCCTCATGCTGTGTTTGGGCTGTTTTCATGTTTGCCTGGGATAAATTCTCAGTCTAATCCTGGATTAAATGTCTCCGAGTACCAGAGACAAGCTGTCCCTCTCTCAGGACAGAAATGTTTGGTTTATGACCAAGCAAAAGTCTACTTCACTCATAATCTTCCCAAAGTACCATACAGTAACTCTTGATTTAAAAAGTGATAATTGAGGATATCATCCAAAAGGTGCAAACGGTTATAGTCTCGCAACTAATAAAATAATAATTAGCTAAGAAACGAGAAGAAAGTGATAAATAGCTATTTTCTTCTCTTCTCTTTTCTCATTCACTTCATTTTCATCTCTATCTTCCTCACATTGTTGGACTTCAGTTTTTGTTACTTTTATTTCGTATAATTTTATATTGTATTTTTGTGTGATTTCTTTATTTTTATTATTTCTTAAAACTGCATTGTTGGTTAAGGGCTTGTAAGTAAGCATTTAACTGTAAGGTCTACACCTGTTGTATTCAGTGCATGTGACATATATAATTTGATTTGATTTGATTCAGTGTTCATCCTGTTAACGT